ATAGATTTAGAATATATTTTCTCACTTGGCTTTCCTAAGAGCCCTGTAAAGGAGGTGAGACAAGATGTAAACTGAAGTTCAGAAACAGGAAATGTTTTGCCCAAGTAAACGACAGACCTGGCCCTAGAACCCAGATCTTCTGTAACTCCAATGTTCTTTCATTTGGACCACTGTGCCTCTTAACCTAAGGGGGAGGTCAAGGTGATCTACTGATGAGGCCAGTGCCTGAGGATGGGAAAGAACCACACTAATTTTTTTTAATTAATATTCCAAGGACTGTATGAATTACCCCATTTTCGTTTCTGTGGCTCCACAGTCTGCTGGGAACAGATTTTCTTGGCTAGATTCTGCAGATAGGAGTCTTTGGCCAGCACTGACGCCATTGGGAAAGAGAAGGAATCACTGAATCCTGTTGGAAAACTTCTGCTGCCCCTTCAGAGGCATAGGGGATCCCCGAAAGAGTTCTTCCACTGTTTCTGGACTGAGGGGAAAAAAAAAAGAGCTGGTTGGGAAGAAGCCAGATGCCCAAAACAATTTGTTGTATCACAGGAATCCCCTTGTATCTAGGGTAGAGGATGCCCTACCCAGGAGGGTCCAGAGAGCACTACTCCTCCCACCCTTACCTCTTCCCCCCCTCCAAAAAAAAAATCTCTAAAAAACAGCTTAACCCACACCTGGGGCAATATACTCTGAAGAACAAACTCTAATCCTTTTTTTTTTGTGGGGGGATGTAAACTGAAGTTTGTGGGGGGGAGGGGAGGGCCAGGTTGGGCAGTATTTTTTCCACACAGAAAGGGGCCTCCACACAAACATGCTTGTTTGTGTGTAAATGTCTGCAGTGTGTGCATCTGTGTGGCTAAATATATATTTTTCTGTTTGGGATTATCTAGATACATATCTTTGTCTATTGTGTCTCTACTTTCTTAGATATCTGCATGTCAGTGTCAGCCAGTCAATAATCATTTGTTAAGCCCTACATGTCAGGCACTGGGCTAAGCTGGGGATACAAAGAGAAAATCTCTGCTCTTGAGGACCTCACAGTCTAGATGTCTGTAGCTGTTTATGTCTCACTACTCCAAGTACATGAAGCAGCACGGAAAGAACTGTTCTTCACAGTAAAACCTCTCTTACCTTGTTTTTAAAAAAAGGAAGGAAGGAAAGGGTTGGACCAGATCAGGAGTTCTTAACCTTTTCTGTATAATGGAACTCTTCTCAAAATAACATTTCTAAAAGCATAAGACAAAATTAATAGGATTATGAAGGAAACCAATCTTACTGAAATACAATCATCAAAATATTCTTTAAAAACAAGTCCATGGATCCCAGGCTAGCAATCCCTGGACTAGACACTCTCAGAGGTGGCATCTCTTAATTCTCTGGGTATCTTGTCAGCATCCGTAGGCATGGCTGAGTGTGTGTGTGTGTGTGTGTGTGTGTGTGTGTGTGTGTGTGTGTGTGTGTGTGACAGAGACAGAGAGCGACACACAGCGACAGAGGACGTGTACGTACGTCCCGGTCCCTGCGTCTCTGTAGGTCTGCGAGGGCACCCACTGGTGACAGAAGGGATCCTCGTGGGGAGGACTAGGAAGCCGAGTAAGACAAGGTAAGGAGGGCAGGAAGCTGGGAAAGAAGGTAGCGGAGGAGAAGGGCCAGGGCGCGCAGCAGGAAGTCGGAGTGAGCCGGTACCACCCACCGAGTCTGAGCACCCTCGGCTACTTACCTGGCCTCCGGCAGCCGCACGGTCACTTCTCTCCGGGGAAACCCACATGGGCAGGCAGAACTAGAAGACTGCCGAGTCAGGAGAGAGTTGTGTTCGATTGGCCGTGTCTAGTAGGCCGGCAGCAAAGTGGAAGGGGTGAGGTCTCAAAGGATTGTGGTCTGCTGGACGACTGCCGGAAGGCTCTGAGGGAGAGTATCCAATCAGAGCTCCTCTCTGGTCGGGGAGATGGGAGGGGTTTAGAACATTGGGAGCCTGCACAAAGTAGTGAAGAGAGTTACCTTCAGTCGGCCAGTCAGTTCTGGAGCGTTTATTTAACGCCTTTTCCGTGCCTAGCACTGAACTGATTGGGCACTGAGAATAAAAAGAGGCAAGAGGCCCTCTCCTCAAGGAGCTTACATTCTAATGGTAGAAAACAAGGCAACTACGTACGTTTAAGAGATGTACGTCTCTTAAAATATGAATATGATATAAATAAAATATAAAACACGTGCATATTTAAGATAGATATGTACATTTAAAACATCTCTTAAATATGCATATATATTAAACGTACACATGTGTACAAATATACATTGTGTATGTCTCTTAAATGTACGTGTCTATCTTAAAGGTACATATCTATCTTAAATGTACATACATAGTTGTCTTCATGTTCTCGAGTTTGAATGTAAACTCCTTGAGGGCAGGGTACACACATATACACACACATGTAGAGCAGACAGATGGAATATTAAATTCCTTTTTAACTCCTACATGAAAACTTACTCTTTCCTGAGCCTCCCCACTCTGGTCACAACCACCACCACAACTCCATTATCCTGTGTCTGTCTATTTTGTTAATATGTTTTTGGAGGGTACTGAACTTGTAATTTCATAGGTATAGGAAGCTCCTGGTGAGGAATTTCCTTAACTAATGAATATCTACACGTTCTGCAATTTATAACCTGGAGTTACCTAGGGGCATAGAGAGATTAAATGACTTGCCCAAGGTCACAGAGCTAGCATGTATCCCAGACAGGATTTGAAATCCAGGTCTTCCTTCTCCAAGTTAACTACCTCTACTTGTATATAATTGAGCAGAGTGAGGAGCAACCAGACAGGTAGGAGACCTCGGTCACAGAAGGGAGGAGATGGTATCTAGTAAAAGTGGGTGGTCAACAGTATCAAATTCTGCTGAGAGGTTGAGAAGGATATGGATTGAAAAAAGAATTAGTTTTGGCAAATAAGTGATCAACTGGAAACTCTGGAGAGGACAGTTTTAATTGAGTGCTGAGGTCAGAAGTCAGTTGGCAAAGGGTTGAGGAGTAAGAGGAATCAGAATATATTACTAGGTAGTCAATCAACTACTTAAGTCAACAAATCAACTAGCAATTATTATATTCCATACACTGGAATATCCTTGACACTTACATCCTTGGGGATATGTTGGGTTTGGTCCTTCCTTCTGGAAAAGGACCAATGACATCACCAGCATATCATGACTTGCTAGTGGAATGAATGAGTGTCATCATCAGTCTCAATCTCTCCTCCGGAGTCGTGGAGTTCAGTGGCAAGGTCAGGACAACAGTCGATGGTCCATGAAGTAGAGGGTAACCTTGGCCTTTCTAAATAAAGGTCTTTCCCAGGACACACACAGGACACATAAAGCAAACAAACAAAAAAACCCACAGCTCTCAGGGGAAATAGAATTTCTCTCATCAGTCCTTGCTTTCTAAAGCTGTAGGTTCACAGCACTATTGAAACAAGTAGGGAGTCAAAATTAGGGAATCAAATTGTTTAAAAATTTGGGAGTTAAATTGTCCAAATTAGGGAGTCAAGACTATTGAGTCAAACTGCCAAAATTAAAAAGTCAAGTTTTCAATTTTAGGGAGTCAAAATTAGGGAGTCAAATTGTCAAAATTAGAAAGTCAAAATTATGATCTCAAGTTGTAAGAAATGGGGATTAAAAATTAGGGAATCAGAATGTTAAAAATTAGGAAAAATTAGGGAGTCAAATTGTAAAGATTAGAAAAGCCATTTGTCAAAAAATAGGAAATCAAAATAAGGGAGTCAAATTGTCAAAATTAGAGTAGAATTGTTCAGTTCTCTCCAGAGGGACCAGGTGACTTGGCCTAAGTAAGAGACTATCAATTAATCCCAATTATGTGGGTGAGATGCCCTCTCAGAATTAAAAGTACAGAACATTAATAAACCTTTCAGGGGAAACAGAATCTCCCCCATCTATTTTTGTAATAGAGGCCACTGGCCTGCAATGTAATGAGCAGGTACAGTTGTGCTGGAGAAAGGCCTCATGATTTGCTCTATTATGGAAGGTGGGACACTTCACATACCCCTTAGAGGTCACCACTTGGGAATCCATTGCCTTCAAGACTTCTCAACCTGGTTATGCATGTGTCAAATGATTAATACCCTTTCTCCTTTATTGTCAAGACTAATAGAATGTAAGCCTGAGGGTAATGAAAACCTTGATTTTGTATTTGCATCCCCAGTGCCTAACAGTGTCTGGCACACAGGTGGTACTTAATAAATGCTTGCTAATTACCTAAGAGGTAGATCACAGACATGATTTTCCCCAGGTCTAACATGCTGATTATCTAGGTATTCCTTTTTTCCTAATTTGAGTATTGGTTAACTTCTTTTAATCAAGCACAAAGTTCTTTGTTTATAGTGGTTTGTAGACTGGCTAGTGAGACAAGTCTCATCCGCAGAATAAGGGAAACCTTATTAATCTTGTTCCTTCTTAGAAACCCTAAGATTGCTAGAGTCAGGTTCTAGCTGCTACTCACTCTGTGACCTCAGACAAGTTGTCTCGGTCCCAGTTTGTAAAATAAGGGGCGTGGACTGAATTTAATCACTAGACGAGATCAAGGCTCCTTCCAGTTCTGACGTTTTGTGTTCAATGTAGTTTTTCTTTAGAATCACCTTCTGATTTACATTATCCAAAATATAAGCTTCATGAGACCAGGGACCTTTTAACTTTTGTCTTTGAACCCTGTCCCTCTCAGCATCTGGCACATAGTAGGAACTTATTTATAATGCCTGTTGATTGAGCCTCATCCCTACAGATGACTAAGTTGCCCACTCTTTCTCCACCAGATGATACAGTAGAAAGGAGTTATTTTCTTTTCTGTCCCCCTCCCACGGTCTGGGCCTTGGCTGCACATCCCTATGCCCCAATCACATCTCTGACGTTAGGGGACCAGCTGGCATCCTCTTCAACCTGTGAGTTCGTGCATAAGTGGGGACTGAGAAGAGAAATAAGTCACCAAAGGTTCATGATTTATTTATTTAACAATCTAGTTACAAAAATAAAGAGAATCACTGTGAGAAATGAATGGTCAACAGTGTAATCCAGTCCCTCTGTCCACCTGAGCTCCAGGCAACAGCATCATTTCAAGGAGCCACCTTTAATACAGAACTTCCCATGAAAAGTGACTCTATGTCAATTATATCTCTTGTGAGATGAAGCTGCACCACGTATGGTTTTGCTCACTTACAGTAGCTAAATCTGCCCCACAAATGCCAGTTTTTAATGTGGCCTCTATGAGTGTGCTGCTTAAGTTAATACACATTCTTTCTATATCTACTTACAAATCCAAGTGTTTATGGCTTCCTCCCCCATCTCTGTCTGTCTGTCTCTCTCCACCCACCCACACTTTTGAGTATAGGATGAAATCCAGAGCTATCTTCCTCCTAGCTCCAGTGTCCTCAAATGGGCCAGAATGGAAGAAGACTTCATGAATAGCAATCCCCTGGGACAGCTGAGGATGTAGCCTATACTTTTCCCAACTCAAAGTGTTTGGCTCTGCCTAACAAATTCCCCAACCCCCTCCCATAATGCCTACAGACTTACTCTAATTTCAGGAACAAGGTGACTTTCACCAAAGAAAAGTTAGGCCCAGGAAAAGGAAATGTGGTTTAATGGACGGCCTGGGCACCTGGACTCTATCCCTGAGGCTGAAGGAGAGGGGAACAAGGGAAGGGAAGACTCAGATTGAAATACTAACGTGTTGCTCTCCAAGTGACACCCTGTGCCCAAAGGGGCAGCTGTTGGCTGTGGTAGCTGGAGTCAGCAGCAAGCACCTTTGACAGCATCAGAACTGGATCCTGGTCAGGCATGCTCCGTGGGACCTGAGCCAGACCCGTTGACGTGAGGGAGCACTGGTGTGGTCCCCTGCACTGGGGCCGTACCAGGCTCTGCAGGAGACACTAGCAGAGGTGCTGAGAGGCCATCAGGGGAGAATGAGGAGAGGTCCTGCCTCCAGTAGGCTTCACACAGGGGCAGATCAATTGTGTCGCAAAGACTGTAGCTTTTCCATAGCCAAAAAAAACCCCAGGAAGAAAGACAGCAGGAGCAGGGAAAGGTGTGAAGGCAGGGGAAAAGGGAATAAAAGAAAAAAAAAAGCAAGACAGAAGCAGAGCGTTTAGAAAACAGTACCAATCCTTGAAGAAATCCCTACCCACCCAAACCTAACTGACTGCTTCCTAATTCCCAGCTCTTGGCCTTCATGAAATTATAAGACATTCAGGATCAGTGCAAAACAGGGCAATTACTTGCTTAAAAGGACTTATTGCAGGATCCTTTAAAGTGACTAGTTCTCCTATGGCCTTGAAAGTAGGAGCACCATCACAAAGTCAAGTATACACATGCATTCACTCCCTCGCATCTATCTGTCCATCGCTCTGCATGTGTTTGTCAGTTATTTCTAAATATGAGTTTCTGGGTCCTGCAAGGTGAGAAGCAGTGTGATACAATGGAAAGTGGCCAAGACCCTAGGTTCATGTCCTAACTGGGATACTCACTACCTGTGTAACTTTAAGGGCAAGTCACTGGGCCTCCATTTCCTCCTCTGTAAAAGGAGGGGGCTGGACTAGGTGGCTTCTTGGGACCCCTTCCTGATCTAGATCTAAGACCCTACAATTACAAGACTTCTAATAAGGTTTCTGACTCTAAATCAATGCTCCTATTATTTCTCTGAAAGCACAGATCACATATTGGGGGAGGGGGAGCATTGTTTTTAAAGACAAGCTCAGCAAAGCATAAGACCATTAATATTACCACACAAGTGGCTAAAACAATGCCTGTAGTCAACCCCATTGCAAGAAGCCAACAGTTCCACTACAGTTTTGAAGCAGCAAAAACCTGGGTGAGGGCATTTGGGAGATTTCAGTGGGACCTCAAAAGGTCCCCTCACAATCCGACACATCCCTCAGGCTTCTTACATCTTAGTATTTGTACCAAACACCTGGGGCAAGTCTGTCAGCCAAATGGCTCAGTGGATAGAGGGCCAGGCCTGGAGTCAGGAAGACCTGAGTCCAAATCTGGCCTTAGACACTCACTAGCTGTGAGATTCTGAGCAAGTCACTTAACCTCTGTTTGCCTCTGGAGAAGGAAATCGCAAAGCACTCCAGTATCCTTGCCAAGAAAACCCCATGAATAGTACGGATGTGTTATGTATGGTCCAAGGGGTCAGGAAGAGCAGATACAACTGAACAACAACTACAAAGGTCTGACTTCAGGCAAGTAAAAAACAAAAAGAAAAAAAAAACTTCTCTGGGCCTCAGTTTCTTTATCTGTAAAATGGGAAGAGAGGGAGCTGAATGATCCCAAGGCCCCTTTCAGCTCTACATCCTAGTACCTGCTCCTGTCACCTCAGTTGGTTGAAAGCAGTTTCTTGGTCCTAGTTTTATGATGAGACACTTCAGTCTATCTCCAAACAATCAATGACTATCATTCACTCAATTCTGAGAACATTTTTATTTTAATTGGCTGTTTTATTGCCTTGAACTCTTAGTCTTTGGACATGTCTGGGTGTCTTCACATCTAGCCCTCCAGCCTCCTCAAACCTGATAATTTCTACCAGGTTCTGTCTGACATAACCTTACAATCAGCTAACTGGTAGGAGAAAAGAAAGAGGGTGGGTTGGAGGTCAAATCAGGTGCTGTTTCTGAAAGGGTAAACAGCTCATCCCTTTCCCAAGCCTGCTTAACTCTTGGATGCTGCTTTCCCTTCCTCTAGACCTCATCTGGCTCCCCAACCCTGGAAGTCCATCACAGACACAGAGCAGTGGGACACTCCAAAGAAAAAAAGCAGGAGAACTGGGCTAGGGAAAAAAGCAAACAATAGAGAGAGACGGCAAAGTGGGTGCAAGAGAGCAGGAGGGAAACAGGGAACACAGCAGGGGTGACAGAAACAGTAATTCATATGGACAAAAACATTTGGAGAGGTGCTTGGTGTCCCAGTTTGCTTACAGTGAAAACTTTATTTACATGGGAATGGGGTTGGGGGAATGGAATTGGATAAAGAAAGGTAAGATTCAAATACTTAACAGGATGAAGACACAACTGACAGTTTCAAAATTATCATCATCATCATCATCAATCTGCCCCCTTAGAATTGCTGTAAAGGGCCCTACATACAGGGTGCGTGGTAGGACATCATTTCCAACAGGGGGCTATCCCACTCAGCCCAAGCTTATGGTTACTACCACCACCCCAACCACCACAACATTAAGGCACTCTGGGATTTGCAGGAACAGATTTGAGGCATTTACCTACTTCATGGAGGAGGTCATGGAGGATTTCACAGGTTTAAAGCACTTGAGAATTTGAGCTGAGGTCATCTTATTTGGTAGTATAGTGAATATGGGGAAAAGGGATGGTAAATCTGACTGAACAATTAATATGAAGACGAGCAATAGAAAGAACCTTGGTCTAGGGGTCAGAAGACTTGAATTCCAGGCTGGGTCTGGCTGCTCACTAAATATATGAGTCAGTTACTTCTCTGGGGGCCAGTTTCCTCATGTGTGAAATGAGGGAGACATTCCATGTTCTAAAGGTCCCTTCTAGCTCGGGCATTCTATGAGTCTGTGATTTCATAGTCATTTGATTCTCCTGTTCCAAGTCATGGAGTTCTTCCCACAGAGGAAAATCATCTTTTCTACTCCCAGGAGTTCAATGTAGGAATTTCACCTGCACAGAGCCTGTACAACAGAAAGCATCTGGGAGAAATAAGGACAGAGAAACATCCTATTGGGAGAGCCCCTTCCTTCAGGGGAACCCGTGAAAGGATTAAAACTGGGCAAGGATGCTGAGAATTCAAGAGAGACGGGAAGAGGTGGAATAAAAAGCTTGGCATGGGATGACAGCTGTGGTGCCTTTTGCCAAATGATCTCTGGCTCCAAAAGGGCTAAACTTCTCACTTTACATTTCAAGTATTTACAATAGTTCAGGGTAACTAAGAGGTGGGATGAAACTGAGCCTCTTCAGGAAAATAAGAATCATAAGGAGGTTCAACTATACATTTTAAATTCATAGCCAGAACTGACCTTCGGCCCTCTCTAAACAAGTTCACAAGCCTCTTTGGTGCAAAAGTGAGCATTTTAAAGGCACTACTAGGTCCAAAGGGGAAAAGGAGGCATAAAACCACCTAGAGATAATTCTGAAGATTCATCAGCTTTGTGTCTACTGGGCACAGAGAAACAATTCACATTTTCTCCCTTGGCCTCAGTAAAATAAGATTGAGCCAGATAGTGTGTGGGGGTGGGGTGGAGGGGGTGGATAGAGGGAAGGGAAGTGGAAAAGGGCCTTAACCTGGGGTCTATCAACTCTGGAAATATTTTTTTTTGGGGGGGGGGCTATGAACTTGAGTAGGATAAAATTTACATCTTCATTTTCACTAATCTCAAACTAGAATTTAGCATTTCCTTCTACTGTCTGAAAACATTACTCTGAGGTGTCCATGGGCTTCACTAGACTGCCAGAGGGGTTCATAACAAAAAAAAAAAGTAAAGAACCCTTGAGCTAGGTGTCTTTGAGGCCCTTTCCAGTTCTGACATGCTATGACTTTTAAGTAACATAGAGAATTCCTAAAGTAGATAATCCCAAAGTTATCGAGATTGAGCTTTGAAATGCAGTGTGTTTGGAGATTTTCCCACTGTTACTCTCAGTTTCACCCGGAATCCAATCTGTCTCCTTGATTCTATTTAGTTCAGGCTGATGTTAGAATTGGTCTATGTTCCCTGAGCACCTATCTTCTGCATGGGAGAAGTGCAGACTGGTTGGCTGAGAGAAATCAGCCTGTGATCAAAGAGAAAGCCAGCAATTTAAATGCATAACAGAGTAGCAATTGAAACAGTATAGAATTAGCACATACTACCTTATCAGAGAGGCTGATGTATAAAGGCAGGTTAATGTAGTGTGGGCCTCAAGAGATACAGATTTTATTCCTTAGTCAAATCTCCTTTCCCTCTGTGGCCTCAGTTTTCCGATCTATAAATAGTTTGTACTAAATGAGGTTGAAAGTCTGTCCCTCCCTTCTGACATTCTAAGATTCTATGAGCATTCACTGTGGGATATCACCAAAGCAAAAAAGCAGATATTCAAAACCTACAGTGGGTAACAATACATTAGTCCAGATTTCTTTGTTCTTGAGACTAGTTATTCTGGGACAGAGGAGCACCCACACCCATAGCTCAGTCTCTATTTACTTTGGCATTATTGACTTCCCCAGAGAAAGTGGGTACCTGGGTCACCAAAGAAGAAATGAATTTTTCTTTTAGGGGGCCAGGAAGAAACTACTGCCATCCTTATTGGCCTTCACAGAGCTTCCCAGGTAAAAGATCGTCTCATAACGGTGAGAAAAAACCCACAAAATTCAGGAAGGCCAGTAAACCTGGGAGGCACAGCTGTAGCGAGGACCAAAAGCTTCCTCCTAAGCCACTGATCTGGCCAGCTCTCCTGCTGCCTGCTCCCTAGGAGAGGCAGATGAAGATGGAAGAGGATGCAGTTTCACAAGCTTCTGGAGTACAGAGCCCTATTTGTACCTGGACGAGTAATACTCCTCCTCCAGCTCGTACAAGTCAATGGAAATCTCATCCCGCAGCGAAATGAGCTTCTTGTCACACTCATCCTGCAAGCCCCGAAGCTGCTGGTTGCGCTGATCGATGGCTTCATTCACCGAAGGAAAGTCATTGAGGATGAGAAATTGCTTGAGGTCAGACACGAGCTTCATCAAGGACTCCCCAGCACGGACCTTGGAATGTCAAGGGTAAGATAGGAGATGGGGTTTAGGGAGGCTGGGAAAGTACAATTTGGGAAGTGGACAGAGATCTGACTTCATAATTGTTTCCAAAAATATTACATTCTATACGAGGCCTTCTGTTCAACTGCCAGCATCTCCCTCACCAAGGTTACCTAGCATAAGATTTGAGGTTTCAATATACCTACCTACCTACACACACACACGTTATGTGAACATGCATTATATATGCATATATGTGTGCGTGTTGTGCACTCGAGTGACTTCTCCCATTAGAGGACACATTCCTTCAAGACACAGATTTTCACTTTTGTTTTTCCTTCCCCAGTGCCTAGCATCAGCTTAGGTGCTTAACAGAGGCCAGATTGACCACAGATGTGTTTGGTGCCTATGACTTAGCCTCTCATCTCTTTCTAGCCACCTTACAGCCCTTACCAACAGGGGAAACTGAGGCACCCAGGATGGCTTCCACATGTTTACCCTGCTGTGTGTTAAAGCTGTCCATCCCCCTTATAACCTTCACGGGGAAAGCAGAGAAGGAAGTTCTGAACAAGGCAATGTTTCTCCACAAGTTTACAGATTTACTATGAAATGATATCCCCTCTTGGCCTCTGACTTTCTAATAACCACAACAGCTTTAATTATTTGAGCCCAGCCTCATAAGGATAGATTCCATACCCTACCTGCCCCCCCAGCCCCTTCCTGATCTTGCCCCTCTTGGATCACAAAATTTCAGGGCAAAAGGGATCTTGCTAAGCACCAAAGAGGCTTTAGCACCAGCTACCAAGGAAAGAACACTCTACCACAAGGGATCACCACTGCAGCCAGTTTTCATTTGTGGGAGTTTCTGGGAGCAAGCGAAGCACTGAGAAATGAAACCCATTTGGATCATGTCACTCAAATGCTTTCATAGCAATTCACTGTCTACAGGATATGGCTATTCCTTAGCCTGATGTTCCCTGATGCCTTTAATAATCTGGACACCTTCTACTTACATCTACCTCATCTCCCAAAGACCCAACCAGAACCACTGTCACCTAAGTGTGGGGCCTTGGCTTTCTCATCTAGATGCATTTGCTCACAATGCTTCCCAACAACATCCCTTCCCATCTCCTTCGGCCTACCCAAAGCCCTCTGTTTTATTTGAAAATTTTTCTTTCTATGACAAACTGAACAAACATTAATAAACATAAACAATGCCATCTAAAAAACCAGAAAATTATATATGAAATTGAACTGCTACATGCAGTTTTTTTTAAAGTTTAAAATAAAACCTAACATAACAGTAACAAAGTCCCTTGGTGCCTCCCACTTCCTTTAGGAAGCCTTTCCCAACAGCCCTGGCCCCCAGGACATGTCTCTCCCCTGAACTCCTGCAAGACTTAACTGTCTGTACAGTTCAGGGAACACTAGTATTGGTGGTTCTCTTTTCATGGGGGGGGCCTCTATCTCTGACTAGACTAAGTTCTTTGAGAGCAGGGGCTATGTCTTACTCATCTTTATATCCCTCACAGTGTCTAGCACAGAACTCTGAACAAAGTAAATGCTCAATAAAGATCTGATTGACTGATGTGAGATTTGGGGGTTTTTCTTTCCTATCCTTCACCTGGCCTTTTCCAGCACTGACTGCAAAGGGCAAAAGGATTTTCTTTGGACACAGTGGGAAGGCTGAGGACAAGCAACTGCATGGCCCAAATTCAGACTCTAGACTGGGGAGTGGGGGGTGACGGAAAAGAGAAAGAACCTAAGATTAGATATGACCTGCAGGAAACAAACAAAAGTGCTGTTGCTGCTGCCTGCCCCTCAAGGCAAGACCCAGAAGAGGGAGGGAGAAGGAAGAACAAGGCTTACTTACAATATTGGCAGCTCTCACATGCATCTCATAATTGTCCTGCTCACCCTGAGTGGCCCGGGACACTTGAGTTTCATCTTCAATCTAGAGGAAAAACAAGAACAACGTCCAACAACACTTAAGCCAATGCCTCTTGTCAGTTCAGGAACTTGCCAGAAACCTCTTGGGACTTAACAGGGGTGGGAAGAAGGATGAGGGGAAGGGAACAGGAGACTCATGACTCCCAGGAGGGTAGTGATACCTTCCTCCCCACCCCAAGAATTCTGGGTTAAGTAGAAAGTTATCCCCACTCCCCACCTGATGGTACAAGGTTAGACAAAGTCAATCTCTGACACTGAGCCCCCTCTCCCCCACAGAAAGGAGGGGCAGGAAAGAAAGGAAAAGCTGAGCACAGGGGGATTAAAAGATGATGATATGGCCCAAAAAGGGGGGGGGGATGGCAGAGAAGAGAGATAAGATTTTATTTCCTAAGCTGCTGTTCTAATAATGATAATGATGATGATAATGATGGTAATAACGACGATGATCATTATAAAAATAATATTCCTGGCACTTTTGATTTGGGGTGAAGATAATTTAGTTTGAATAAATATTGCCTCCAAAAGGCACTCCTGAGTGACTCAAACCAGATAAAATGCAATCGGGAAATATTTAACAAAATAAATAGAAGTGCAATAAAACATAGATTATATTACTATATGGTTTCTAAGTTAATATGCAGCCTACAGGGATCCTTATACATGGTTCAGTGGCCCTCACCTCTATTTGATTTTGACATTACTGCTCTTGGCAACTCACTGGTATATAGCTTTCAGAAAAGGTGCTGACTTGCATTGGCAAAGGCATTTTCCTTTCCTGGGAATTCCCAATATATTAATGCAATAACAGATCCAGTGCCTATCTCTATTATAAAGACCAAAAAAAAAAATTTCATGCCCACCAAATGGCAGGCAACACAAATATGGGAGGAATAGCTATAATGCTAGATGACCAGAAACCACTGAACAACCTAGCACTTTTTTAACTCAAAGAAGAGAAGACTTAGGGAGGCTATGCAGCTGTCATTAGATAGCTAAGGAACTACTATTTGGAAACCAGAATAGACTCATTCCATGTGGCTTCCTAAGAGCAAAACTAAGAATGAAAGGTAGAAATCACAGGAAGGCAGATTTCAGCTCCATACACAGAAGAACTTTCTAATAATTCTCCAACAACGGAACAGGCTGTCAAGGGAGGTATTAATCTCTCTGTCAAGGGTGGTCCAGGGCAGGATGGATGATTCCTTGTCAGAGATGTTGCTAGATTAGGGGATTGCCACCTGATTCTAAGGTTTCAAAGATTCTGTCTGTGGTAATTGGGCAGGGATTTAATATTCCTTTCATAGTTGAAAACCCTCAATCTTAAGAGACTAAAATTATGTTCATCCTAGTATTAATGCTAAGTATTTGTTTTATCATGTTCTGATTCTTTTAAAAATGGACAACCATCTAAGGCATATATGGTAATTCTTTCTTAACCCAATAGTTACTAATCCAGAATAGCACATTCTCCAACCACAACAGGTTTCTGTCCTCCTTCCCTTCCCTCCCAGAATTGTCACTTACTATTTGTTAGGTTAAGGCAAATCAGTCCATCTTTCTTGGGCTCCGTTTCCTCCTCTTTAAAATGAGGAGCATGGATTAAATGGCCATTAATGTCTCTTCCAGCTCACTAGTTCCTAGTGACCATTTATACAGAAAGTAGGCAAGGAAGGAACCTAGAACAATTCAGTATTTCAAATTCCAACACACCAGATGGACATCGGTGCTTTAAAATTCAGGATAGGCTTTAGCTCTGGACCAAGTTTTTTCCCTGAAACACATAAACAAGATATACCCAGCCTTTGTCCCACCAGCTCCTATGAAGTAAGATGGGGGAGGGTGGGGAGCTAGCTCCCTTACCTCTACTTACCTTAGCTGTCTTTATGATCTCAGTGAAATTATCCATTATTGACTTAATATCATCTTTCAGCCTCTTGTTGTAGGACTGAAGGAGGGTCTCTTTGCTCTGGGGGAGGACTCTTTGTTGGGCCATTGCATTATCCTAGGAAGGCAAGGCAAAGAAGAGATTAGAGCCATGTATTATTAGTGGAAGCAGCATGTTTTGTAAATGGAGCGCTGCACTTGGAGTCAATAACACCTAGATTCAAATCCAGCCTCAGAAACATACTGTGTGATTCAGAATAAGCTCCTTCCCTACTCTTATAACTTATAGCTCTAAAATGAAAAAGGACCTAAAGTCCTAAAGCTCTAAAGTGAAAAATGGTGCCACAGGAAGAGCACTGGACTTGGAGTCAAGAGAGCAGTGGCATTAACAGGCATTGAAAGGTTAAGTCACCTTGTAGCACCCCATCAAAATACTGCCTTGACTCCTAGTAATGATTCTATAGGGGATGGTAACTTGGGTGAGAATTCTGCCTCTGATACCTACTATGAGTTAGGCAAGTCTCAAACTTTCTGAGTCTTACTTCCTTCACCTGTAAAATGGGGATAATAATACAGGTAGGTGGTGCAGTAGAAAGACTCCAAGGTCTGGAGTCAGGAAGACGGGAGCTCAAATTTGGCCTCAGATATTTACTAGCTGTGTGACCCTGGGCAAATCCCTTAACCTCGGTTTGCTTGTTTCCTTCTCTGTAAAAGAGGGATAACCTAGCTCCCAGGGTTGTTTCAAGGATCAAATGAGATAATGTTAGTATTATCTTATTATACTATTAGACGATTGTCTAGCAGCCAACAAGTGCTGTTCCTTTCCCCTCAGTTTCTGCATCTGTAAAATAGGGATAAGAACAGTATTTGCACTCCCTCCCTTCTCAGGGTTATAGAGAGGAAAGCACTTTGTAAACCTTAAGGAGCAGAGAGTGGATTGGGTGAACTTCCTACTTGAGGACTCACCAGTTCGGGCACAGAGGGCTTAATAAAAGCTTGTCTACACCTCAGTTTCCTCCTCTGTAAAACGTAGTCTCTAATGTCAGACTCCAATTCGGAGTGTTAGGTCACACTCCAATTCAAAATTATTAAGCGCCAGCCTAACCCAAGATACCGCTCCGGGCGCTGGGGATACAAAGACTGGTGGGGAGGGGGGGGGAGGTACCGCGCCTGCCCTCAGGATGCTTACACTTCCCATCCCCCGCCCCGCCGGGCCGCGCGCCTCCCAGCCCAGCCAGACTAGGCCAGCGAGCGGAGCCGCGGAAACACGCGTGCGACCAAGGCCGCCAGCGTGCAGGGAAAGGGGAGGAATGGACCGCGTCCAGACGCGGCCCAGGGGGGCCGCACCGCCGGATGGACAAAACGAAAACGATTGTGTGGATGCCAGCCGGGACCCTTCCGGGGCCCTTACCTGTCTCCTCTAGGAGTCTGAAGTTGGTCTCCCTCAGCCCGGCTCTGCAGGGCTAGCCGGAGAGATATGCGCGCCGGGCCCTTTAAAAACTACGCTGGGAGGGGGGAGAGGAGGAGAGCGTTTCCGCTTTGGCCTTTAAGACCACCTCCTTCCCACAAACCTAAAACCTTAAATCCCGCGCATGCGCAAGCCCTCGCGAGAGCCGAGACGTACTACATATTACCCAGAAGTCTCTTCTCTTCCTTTCTCGTTCAGCCGGCCAAGATGGTGAGGCAGTCTGCTTTTTCGCGGGATCTCGGGTCTGTCTCCATCCATCACCATCGACTCCCTTCTCGGTCCCCAGCTGAGCAGCCTCCGCCTAAGAAGGCTTCAGGGGGCTCCGCAGGACCTGCGGCTGCGGGATGAGGGAAGGGATGGTGGTGGGGATGGAGGGCCGGCGGGCGGTTCGCGGGGTGAGGGAAGGCCGCCCGGCCTGAGCCGGGACCCCGTGGCACAGGGCCGGCGCACTGAGGTCCCTTGGCGGCCCTCGAGTCCAGCGGCCAGTCGGGTTGCACGACAGGCTCTTAACCGGGGCCCAGTCGCTGGGGGACAGGGTTGTTTGGACTTAGTGCTCCAGCCTCCCAGAGCATTCGGGGAACTGGGTCCGAGTCATTGCACGTTAGAAGGAAGGACTCAAGAACGTAGACTATCGGGTAGAAGATCATCTAGTTTAGTGTTTTAGTGGTGGAGAAACTCAAATCCAGGAAGCGTAAATTGAATTGCGCAAGTCTCGTGGTTTGCCACTGGCAAACTAGACACCTAGGCGGCCCTGGCCAGGAGTCAGACGGTCAGGAAGACCCGAGTTTACATTCGGCCTCAAACATGGTGTGACTGAGAAAGTCACTTACTTAACCTCTGCTTGCCTCACTCCTCAGATCCTAAAAACAAACAAAAAAAATGGGCATGATGACAGCACGTACCTCGCAGGGTTTTTGAGGATCAAATGAGATGTTAATAAAGCTCTTAGGCCACTTCCTGGCATGTAGAATGTGCTGTGTAAATGCTTATTCACCTTCCTTTCCCAGTGGTTTAGCCAATTTTCTTGAAAAATCAGAGCTTTTGTTAAGCAGCAGGCATTGGTAAGCCTTGAATGAGCCACAGTATTAAATGCTTTGGGTTGGTTGCTTCTTGGGTAAATTAAATGAGATGGGCAAATTGCTTGAAACTTTGCAGAAGCCCTTGCAAGTAGAGGTTAAAACCTTGATACTATGAAATGTGTCTTACAGGTTGTCACCTTATTCCTCATCCACCCTCTAATCTGGTACATTAAAGGCGGTTTAATGGCCGAAAGTGAGAATAGCATCATAGACCTAAGACTTGGGGGGGAAGAAATCTCAGAGCCCGTCTCTTCCAACTTCTTTATTTTAAAATGAGGAAATTAGGCCTAGGGAGGTTGTGATTTTTCACCTGGGATGTTAGTGAGATTTGAACATATGTCTTCTGACCCCAGAATCAAGAATATGTGAGGGAGGGGTACTTTTGAGAGTGCTGACCAAGCAAATTTCTCCTTTTTAAAGCCAAAGGGGAAGAAGGCCAAGGGGAAGAAGGTGGCTCCTGCCCCTGCTGTAGTAAAGAAGCAGGAGGCCAAGAAAGTGGTCAATCCTTTGTTTGAGAAGCGGCCGAAAAACTTTGGCATTGGTGAGTGATAGAAGTATGTTTGGTGTGTGGGTGGATTGAAAAAGTTTTAATCTCATGTCAAATGTGCTATAGCGTTAATTGGACAATTGACCAAATATTTGAATGACCCGGAAATACTGTTGGGAATTGGAGAGAAAAATAATAATCTGATAGCTTTGTTATGAAGCAAGAGGACAGGGGGTACTGGGAACGGACTCCACCAAGAATTAACAGTTGTGCAAATGATGGAAAAGAATATTTGCTATCTTGAGTGATGGTGATGACATTTCATAACCACCAAGATCACTGATGCACTCTTTTTATCAATTACAACAATCTGAGTTTGAGATTGCAAGCTTCACAACATTTTCCTCATTAGGTCAGGACATCCAGCCCAAAAGGGACCTTACTCGATTTGTCAAATGGCCTCGGTACATTAGACTGCAGCGTCAAAGGTCTATCCTTTATAAGCGTTTGAAAGTGCCACCAGCAATTAACCAGTTTACCCAGGCTTTGGATCGTCAGACAGGTAAAGAGGAACCTCCTGACTTGGTCTGTTTTCTTAAACGGCACTGTTTTGAAGGGTTGCATTTCTAACACAAGTGTGCCTAAAACTTAGTTTAACTCATGGGAAGAAACAGTTTAGTATAGATATAAACTGTTTGAGACTCAAGTTATGTTCTTGTCTCAGGGTTAACATGACCCTGATTGTTTCTAAGATCTGTTTATTTTGTAATTATTTTTAAATGTCATTAATTTCTATAATTGGAGGAATATGTGCAGATGATGATTTACGATATTTGCTATCTGAGTAGCAGTGATTACATGCTTAACCACCAAGATCGCTGATGCACAAATTGTAAGGAACACAAAAATGGTTGTTTTAAAATGAAAACCTTAACCAACAAACTTGTTCCTGTTCCAGCTACTCAACTGCTTAAACTGGCTCACAAGTACAGACCTGAGACAAAGCAAGATAAGAAGCAAAGGCTGCTGGCTCGGGCTGAACAAAAAGCTGCTGGCAAAGGAGATGTCCCCACTAAGAGACCACCTGTCCTCAGAGCAGGTAAATTACTTTATTGTCTAAAATTGGTTGATTGATAGATGAATGTTGGGCAAGCTATTGCAATGATGTATGAATTTCTTCACCTGAAATAATTGTGTAGATCAAATACACGAGCTTTTTAACCCTGAGCCATAGCTAAAGATAAACGGTTTCTTGATATTTTTGACCAAAGTAGGTAAAAGCTAGAAAGCAACAAAGCAGTAATGAGCCCATATAAACTCTGGTTATGGTTTTGTTTTGTTTTTTCTGGTTGTTTTTTAGGTGTTAACACTGTTACTACCCTAGTAGAAAACAAGAAAGCACAGTTGGTAGTGATTGCACATGACGTGGACCCCATTGAGGTAAATTCTCAACTTGGAAAATTGTAAAAGGGTAGGGTGTGGTACCCATTGTCAGGAATAGGAATAAAATATGCTTTTTTTCCTTCATATTTGTGGTCAATCACATTAAATGTGATAGAGGTTGTTTAGTTCCCTGGAATGTTTTTAAGGGACTGATCTCCTGTAGGAAATGACCTTTTGCAATGATGTATTGAATTTCTTCACCTGAATTAAAAGCATGAAGAATAAATATACGAGCTTTTTAACCCTGAGCAAATGCCAGATAAGTTACTTTATTTCTTATGTGATAAGTGCTCTAAACTTAACTATGTATATACTTTCCAGCTAGTGGTCTTCCTACCTGCCTTGTGCCGAAAAATGGGGGTTCCTTACTGTATTATCAAGGGTAAAGCCAGACTGGGTCGCTTAGTTCACAGGAAGACATGTACAAGCATTGCCTTCACACAGGTTAACCCGTAAGTATGTAGTTACTCAGTCACTTAAATGTTTGAATCCAAAAGGATCTCTGGGAAGAGTTTCTATCCTAGAAGAGATGTAACTTATCGTCTGCTCATTTTCACATGTTTTACATGTCTGATTACAACATAGCTTAGCATGTTTGACTTTTGAAACCTCAAGGAAAATTGCTAAGCTGGAGAATTATGGGAATTGGCTGCCAAATTGGGTTAAAAAAATACATGATCAGGAGATGAACTTTTATTCTGAACCTTTTGACAGTGATGCATAGAATTTCTTCACCTGAAGAGACCATGTAGTAATATTGACCCTGAGACAAAAGGTGGTATCTAAAAGTGGTAGACAAGACAATTGTTAAGTGAAGGGGTTCTGTGGTATTAACTTTTCTGATCTTTCTCAACAGTGAAGATAAGGGAGCCCTGGCTAAACTGGTAGAAGCCATCAAAACCAACTACAACGACAGATACGATGAGGTAAGAACTCATTCAGCTACAGACCCAAGTGAATACATTGATAACTGTTTTCTGCTACCAAACTCAATCAATTTAAATGAATTACCATATTCATTCATACACAATGCTCATCTTTGATTATAAATAGGAAAACTTTGATGGGCTCTGACATTCTTTCAAATTGGTGGGGAATATATTACATAATATAGGTAAAAGTTAACCGTTTTTTTCTTTGTCCTTTCAGATCCGTCGTCACTGGGGTGGCAATGTTCTGGGTCCAAAATCAGTGGCTCGTATTGCCAAGCTAGAAAAAGCAAAAGCTAAAGAACTTGCAACCAAATTGGGTTAAATGTATATTTGATTTTTCCCTACATAAAAATAAAAATTTTAACAAAATGAAAGTATGAGTGGTTAAAGAATATTCTGGGATTGAAGCTACTATATAATCACAAGGTACACATGTACAAACAAAGTAATTTGGGGAGGGCCCTACCTAGCAAATGGGAGAACCAATCAGTAAGTCAACTAGAATTTTTTTTTAATTAAGCACTAGTGTGTCAGGCACTAATCACTAGAGATAGACCCCCATCCCACCCCCAATTCCTTGCTCTGCACTCAGTCTAATGGAGAAAAGGTTCATGAAGAAGATAGTGCATGAAATGGGTCTTGACCAAATCTGAAGCAAATTTCAAGAGGTGAAATAGGTTTGCAAGATAGAGCATATCATATGTGGAAACCTCAGTAGGCCACAGGCTGGAACTGAGGAGAGAGAGTGCTGAGATGTAAAACTGGGAAGGAGTGTCAGGTGGTAAAGAACTATCACTGGAGGTAGGGAGGCGATGCCATCAGACCTGGACTAAAGAAAAATCACTTTGGCAGTTATGCAGGTGATAGATGGCAGAGGGAAAAATAGAAGGCAGGAAAACCAAATAAGATCTTGAAGTAATCCACATGAGAAGTGATGATGTCCACTAGGGTGGGATTTGTGTTAGTAAAGGGGGATATCTGGGAAGGATGTAGAGAAACAAAATTTTGGCAACTAATGAAGCAAACAGAGTAGAATTTAATTAAAGTGGGAGCCTTTATTTTTAATTTTAAAAAATTTACAAAATATTCCCTGTTTGTCCATGGTTTCTTGCCCCCACTCTCCCTTCATTGCCGTCTCCTAGGGTAATCGAACAAACTTCTTAAACCACATGTATGATGTTGCTGCAGATAGTCCATACCTGGTGGGAAAAGTAAATTAGTACTGGAAAATTAGAGGGTAAAACACAAGCTGTGTTTAAGCTCTGTATGATCTAATAATTTTACCAAGTAATGATGTACTGCATATGTTCATTCCTCAAGGTTACTCTTGTTTGGCCACCAATGGGCCCTCCTGGGACTGTGCTTTCTATAAACAAGAATCATCAAAACAGTTTATGTATTTTGTGACTATTTTTTTCTACTGCCTAGAAATACATAATTTAGTGATTTATAAAGTGTTTCTGCACATTGGGACCTCAACTGGTGAAACAAACTTCAGATTCTAAGCTATACTGTTATCAGATGATCTCTGGTGATTTATTCTGAGAATTGGAAAGGACCTTTGACCTCATTTCATCTTAAGTCCCTTACTTTATACAGGTAAAATGAGTTGTTTGAGGATAAGCCATAACTAGCACCAGGGGTGGGGAACCTGCTGTCTTGAGGCCACATATGCCTTCTAGGTTCTTGGGTGCCGTCTTTTGACTAAGTCCAAGTTTCACAAAGCAAATCCTTTTATTAAGAGGATTTTTGTGAAGTCTGGATTCAGTCAAAAAGCCACATGTGGCCTCAAGTTCCCCACCCCTGCACTAGGATATGAATCTAGTATTTTATTTCTCCACTAAAAGCAACTAGCCAGCCCGACTATTTTTGCTCCTGGGCTCCCTGCCAATTACTTAGGGAAAGTGAAGCATCTAACCCCCAATTATATATTGCCTCCCAACAGAATTTTAATGTAATAGTCAAGAAACTGCCAATGGAAAGGCACTGAGAGTTAAGTCTAAAGTAAGGGCAAGTTGGGTTGCAGGATGAACAAAAGCCACCACCCACCCCTGATCCCCAGATCCATTCACAACATACTGAAGTCAGCATCAATGAATATGGGCTCAGCGCCTGTGACCTTTGCCATGGTGTCCAGGTCACGGTAATGCCAGCGGTTCTTCTCTGGCTTATTTTCAGGGACAAAGGGCTTCCGAGTTTCTGCCAATCTCACCATCCCAATGAGGTCAATTTCATCCTCAATCTATTAAAAAAAAATTTCTATCATTCACATCTTTTTTTTTCCTGTTCTTTAAGATTTTTTTAAACCAGAATTCTTGATCTAACTATCAAAAGTCCCTCAAATGACAACTTCAAATAGATAAAATGAAAGGGTAGGGATTGAAACATGAGCATTCAGTTAAGGCTTTAAAACCTTCCTCCACATCTAGAGAAGTCTGTCCTTTAATTAAGGATTTTCTCAACCCTCCATTTAAACATACAGATGAGCAACCTGCTCTGAGATAAATCCTCTCCTTTCTGCAGTGAGGACAGATTAATATTCCTTACCTGACCTTTCTGCCGAGTGTCTGGATTTATTCTTTTCCTGGGAACATATCCTCTATTCACTAGAATTGTGATCCTAGAGTTTTACAGAAAGAAAAAAAACACTGTAAAAGGATAAATCTCTGCTTCTAAGTGATCCTGTTTTATACCATGGCATTGATAAAGGCCAGATGCTTCCCTATCTGATCATTCCTTTTTTCCAGAACATAAATTATAATAAATTTTAGCTATACTTAGATGTCCCATTTGCCATCTGCCACCTACTTTCCCAAGCACTGGGCAGCTGGTTCTCCATTATCTCAGATGTTCTAGTCATGAATAAGGGAGCAGTGGTGAATATCCAGGTTAAAGTCCTTGTTCTGCCTCTAACATGGGCACTTCATTTTCTACCTCAAACACGTCTGGATAAAATTACCTCCATTCCTTTCCAGCTGTGATTGGTTTTTTGTGACAAAAAGTGAGCCAAAAATCTATCTACAATACAGTATAGTTTAGAGTCAAATCAGCCTCAAAAAAAAAACCCAATCTTTGGATTATTCTCTTAACTGTTCCCCCTTTTTTAGTGATGGGAATTACAAGTTAACAGGACTTCTTATGTCTGGGTCATTTAGAAACCGCCATCAGGCCTACAGCAAACAGAACAATGGTGCCTGTGGGTAGAAGTGTGCTGCTTCCAGGTTAATGAGTACAAACTTTCTGGTTATATATCATAGGATTCTAAAATGGGAGGCTCACATATAGGTTAATATCACTAGACTGGGGAAGTTAATTACAAGTGCACCTACAACTTGAGTCAGTTCCCAACTGGTTCAACTCACCCCAAATCAGTACAGTGGAAAGGAGTGACAACATTAGCACCACTTTCCACCGTGGAGGACATCTGGCCTGAATTCCAGGACTCTCGTGCAGGGTCCACCATGGTTCGGGGCAAGATATAGAGTTCCTTGGAATGGTCAAAATGCCCTCTGACCTTCACAGGCCTATACTCCAAGTCCTTCAACTCCATGAGACTGTAGGAAAGGCAATAAAATGCTTATGAGGGGTGGCTTCAGGCAAAACTGCCTTCCAAGGAATGGTGTCGTCATCATTCCCCCTTATATGAAGATCCTTGAGCCTCATTTGGTTTTTTTTTGGAGGCAATTGAGGTTAAGTGACTTACCCAGGACCACACAGCTGGTAAGTAAGGAAAGAAAGGAATAAAACTCCTCGTAGAGAAAAGTGACTTGTTAACATTAAGCCATCTAAACCATAACCTCAGTGAAGGGTTTCCACTAGTTAGTGTAACAGAAGAATTAACTGAAAGTGGAGTTGGGAAGGCTGTGTGTCTTTACTTCAACCTTCTGGAGCTGAATTTTTTTCATCTGTAAAACAGGGGTGTGGGACTAGGTAACTATGAAACTTCTTGCTCTGAAACTCTATGGGTTAGCACAGGCCACAGTCTCAACATCTAATGGAATATAAGTTACTAGGCAGGGTTGATCAAGACCCAAGAGGAGATGGGCGACTACTCACTCTACAGGCAGAGGGATAGGCTCAGCTGTTACTCTTGATTCCAGCTCTGCAATTAGCTTCAGCTTCCACTTCCGACGCTGGACCTATGTGAGTAACCAACCCACATATACCCACATGAGCCAAAAGTAGTGGAGCCAAGAGCTTCAGTACTCTAAAGAAAGACATGTTGGTCACTACCTGCCATGTTCCCAGGCCAAAGGCGGTCACAGGGATGAGCAATAGAAACCACTTGTAAAACAAGTCTTCCTCTGACTTAGCAGTAGCTGCTGCTGTCGAGATGCTACATCTGCTTGAATTCCAAACAGCCTCTGGAAGAAGCCAACAAATTATATCAAATTAAATCTGTCATGTTATCTTCCCTAGTCTTGGACTGTAACCTATAAATTTCTCCACCATTCCTACCTTCAACCTCTTCCCAATCTGAGGGTCTGTGATATTTAGGAAATAAGCTATAACCCTACTAATTGCTCTGAAAGGGCAAAATGGAGTAAAGCTGAACTGAGGGAAGCCTGAGGTCTAATCTTGACTCTGTCACTGACTAAAACTACAGATACATAATATAATCCTGTCCATGGCTCATTTCTTCCATCTGTGAGGATATAATACCTATGCTCTCCCTTGATAAGGATATGGATAGAAGCTAAACCTGTGATTTTGTTCATACAGGAAGTTCCCCAAAGAGGAAATTCTCACTACTAGAGTTGGTCAGCACTTTCTGTTTAATGTATAAGATCTTAAAAGAGTTGATGCCTAGAGGGGGCAGCTAGGCGGTGCAGTGGATAGAGCATTGGCCCTGGAGTTAGGAACACCTGAGTTCAAATACAGCATCAGACATAACACTCACCAGCTGTGTGACTCTGGCCAAGTCATTTAACCCCAACTGCCTCCCCAAAAAGGGAAAAAAAAAAGTGTTGCTTAGGTCAAAGGTGTCAAACTCTTGCATGTGGTCTCCCAATGCAGCCAAAACCAAATTAAAGTGTTGCAAAAAAAAAAATCAATACAAGATAGAATGTTAATTTGTGATTTTCCAAGTCACTATGCAGCTTGCAGGGATCATTTCTACTTGAGTTTTACACCAGTGCACTAGGCCACTGAGCTTGGGTGATTTGCCCAGGGTCACACAGCCAGTATCACAGCTGAGACTTACTGAGAACAAATGCTTTATATTCTTAAAACATAGTGCTAATTATTACTATTGTTGTTGACAGGGGATGTGAAAGTACCTTTAAGTTCTTAGGGTGTAGGGCATACTAAAGTATGTTTGTTTTGTTTTAACAGTTAAACACGAACCTGGTTTCAAGGCCAAAATCAATGGCAACACCAATATTCCTTTACATTAATGGCAACACTCATAATTCCCTTACAGTAATATAACCATCTATCTTCCCCAAGTTCCTAGCAAGTGCCCTACACATGACCAGTAATTTATAGGATTCATGAAACTAAATTAAACAAAGACTGACAGGAAGAAAGAGTCGCAAAGCTGAGTCAAGAGTCAAAACATCTGATGCAGGCAGGAACTTTAGCTCTTTCCCATAGTCAAACCCTTTTATTTTAAAACTGTGGAAACTGAATTTCAGAGAGGGACAGCCCCAAGGTAGCACTGCTAGTGACGTTAGTCAGATGTGCAATTCAGCTTTCCTAGCTACCAACAGAGAACTTCCCCTGCACCAAATTCCCTCCTCACCTGGGAGCCATTGGCCCAGGGGAGAGACACCAAGGAAGCTACTTCGGAAAGGGCTAATCAGGTCCTGCAGGGAAAGGGGACACAAAGGGGGCAGAGAAAGATCAGCTCCTTCCGCAGATCGGGGGAACGACATACATGACTCCAACAACGTCAAGGAAAAGAATCGAAATGAAGCTCAGTGGAAGCAGCTCCCTCTTTCCAGAAGACCTGGGGGAAACTGCGGGCGCTGAATGCTGCATACAGAGTCGGCCTGGGGTCACGTGTTGGGAGGCCGTCTTTCACCGTTTCCCATTAAAGGTCTGGCCCGCGGCCTCGGGACGCTCGGCCACTGCCCCGGTCCAAGCCCTCCCCGTCCCAAAGCGCGCAGGGCTCCTCCTCCTCTCCCCTTTCTCTTTGGTCCTGCTCCTCGTCCTCCCCAGCTCGAACTCGGCCTCAGGCCTGCCCTCACCGAGGCCTGGGGCACGCACTGCTGCGAGACCCTCCGCAGACCAAGCACCCGAGCGAACATCTGCCTGGCGGCCATGACAGCTGCGCCGACCACTTCCGGGGTTATAGCGCGGAGGGGTGGGGGAAAGAGACGCACTTCCGATGCACGTAAGGCGCTGCCCGGCGCGGGCCACGCCCTCTTCCGGGTTTCCACGTGGTGTGCCCTAGAGGTGGCGGGGCGGTGACTCCTTTCCCCGTCCCGGGAGCCATGGGTAGTACGGACGGCCGGGTGCCGCCTGATGTGCAGGACTTCCTCCTGGACCACCCCGGCCTGCAGTTGTGCCCTGGCGGGGCCAAGGTCAGCTGGGAAGGGGCCGGGCCCCGAGCTTACGAAGAGGGAAACTGAGGCCCAGGGAGGGGAATGTGAAAATTGATAGTAAACACATCCAGGCAGCGCTAGGGCTCCTTTGTCCCGAGTCGGGGGAGCTTTCCTTCTTAGGAGTCAGCGTGACGCCCTCTGAAAGAGAACGGAGTCGCGGGACCCGCCTCCTGTGTGACCTTGGCTGAGTCAGTGAACCTCTCGGGGCCTTAGTTTCTCCATTAGTAAGACGAAGGTGTTGGCCCAGAGGACTAGGTTTCTCCGAAGGGGATAAGTGATCCAGTAATTCAGTCCCACCTCCTCACCTGCTTTTCTCCATTTCACTGATGGGGGGAGCCTGAATTAGGTAGAGGGAATGCCACCTACCCAAGGCATTACATTCTCAATGACAGCACCAGGAGTCCCAAGCCTATCTCACAGGATTGTTGTGGGGGATGAAATTTGGTAAATATTTGTAAAGAGCTTTTCAAAACGCTGTATAAACGCTAGCTATTGTTGTTAGCACTCTTTGTAGGGCCTGTTCCGCTAGATGACAGGTTCTTTCTTAACTGGAATTTGTGAACTTTTTTTTAAAAAAATTTTTATAACTATTTCAGTTTGAAATTTCTTACCTTGTTATCCTTTGTAGTTCATTTTATGATTGTAAAAGCATTCTGAGTAGGAGCCCATAGGCCATACCCAAGTGCTAAAGGAGTCTGTGACACAAGAAGGCTTAAGAATCCCTGCACTGAATCATGTTTTCTCTGTCATTTCCCCCCTTATCCGCTCTCTTCCTTGGGGATCCTGTGGTTTTAAAGAAAAGGAAATTGAGGCTTTAGAGTTATGCCTTGCCCTGTGGTACAGTGAGTCAGTGAGTGAACGAACTCCAGACAAAACTCAGGTCTCAACCTTTGTCTTTCTATTAAATCCTTTCAATTCTTTTTCCTCCCTCTTCCCCCCCTTTTTTTTTGTCCTTTAGAAGCATTGTGGTTTACCAGAAAGAGGACTTTGGATTTAGAGTGAAAGGAAACCTGGATTCCCATCTTGGTTCTGCTACTTCTCTCATAATCTTAGGAAAGTCCATTTTCCCTCTCTAGATTTTCATTTCCCCTTTTGTAAGATAACAGGGGCTGGGCAAAATAGCACATCGTTCTCCCTAGCTTTATATCTTTGGGTCTTTATCCTTAAAAACAGCTGCCCTAGGGCAAAATCTTCAGCCTTCCTCTCTGGAAGGGCCCTTCAGGTCCTTAGGTTCCAGCTTTGGAAGAACACCAGGAGATTTCTCTTCTGGTCCTCCCTCTGCCACTGACTTACTCTATAGCTATAAATCATAGGATTATAGATTTACCTCAGGAAGGGAGATATGAAGTCATTTCCTCTACTCCCTTCATTTTATAGTTGACAATGCCCAGAAAAGTTAAGTGATTTGCCCACGGTCACACATCACAGAGAGTATATATAGCAGGGGTAAGATTTAAATCCAAGTAATCCTTTTACATCTTTGGGCCATAGCTTCCTCACTAGCAAAATAGAGATGATAATGTTTATACTGCCTACCTGACATGTTGTGAAGAAAGTGTTTTACAAAACTAAATGCCATAGAACTATGAGTTATTACAGTTATCTCTTTTACATCACAACTTTTTCTCCATCACAATTTTAATATATCATGGGTCAGCATAAGAAATTGAAAACTTTTGGGGAGTTTGTGGAAGCCACAGATGACAGAAAAAGTTTAGAAATTTAGAAATGCATAAAATATATGCATAGTATTATATAATATCAACATATTTTATCTTTTAATACCATAATAATTCAGATTTCTTCTCTGATATGAAGGCCAAAAATTTTTATTTGGATTTTCCAGATTTTGGGGGCACTGAGCTCCTAACTCCTTCGATGTGGAAGGGATAACTGTATTCCGTTTAGGTATTTTTCTTTCAGAATGAGGTCCTGAAAGGAAATTGGCCCTTCTGGCCAGCCATCCTTACACAGGGGCAGGATTCTGAGATTGGCAAGTACATGCACACTCACCCTTCCTCCTTTCCCTACCCTTCAGATAAGGTGCAGACTGACAGGCCATGAATTGCCCAGCCGACTTTCAGACCTCCAGGCCTACACCAGTGGTAAGAAGTATCAGCGGCTGATGCGCACCACTGAGACCTTTGACTATGAAGACTTTGAGCCACACATCATTCCCAGCACCAAGAATCCGTATGTCCCCAATGGAGGTCCTTGACAGCCATGAGAGTCATGAGAACAAACACAGAAGAAAATTCCTGGGGATAGCTGGGTTTGGGCAAGGGAGTGTTTTGATGATGGATGTTAAAATAGCCTGAACAGGTGTAGTGAACTGATCCTTGTTTTTCATGGACAGGCTCCAGAAGTGGCTACAGCAATGCCAAAAGTAGAGAAAGGAGATAAGATTTAGAATTGGAACCAAGGACCTTAGAGATATTTAGCCCAATTCTCTCCCCCTTATTTAACAGCTAAGGAAACTGAGACTTGAGTAGTTAAATGACTTACTCAAGGTTACACAGATTTTGTAGTAGATTACTTGATTCCAAAGCTAGCGTTCTCTCCACTTGCTATAATGACTTGGATCCTAATTCTTTCTGCTGGGAAATAGCCAGGCAAGACTGCAGTATATATTGATCCATGACTCTTCAGTGTTTAGGATACCTGTATAGAGCCCCTCCTTATTAGCCCAGACTGCACAGTGGGATTTCCAGGTGGTAGAAGAAGAGAAACTTTTCTAGGGTCATTGGAACTTGAGTGGAGAGAGTTCATTCTGCTACCAACATGCTAAGCCCCTGCTCAACTGTCGGCAGGCAGACATGTTTTTCTGGCCATAGCCTGTGGATATTAGGATAGCCATGCTGTTCTCCAGTTTTCTCTTAACTGAAAAATCAAAGGAATCAGAAAGGGGGGAAGAAGGCTCTTATCCTTTTCCTTGCCAAGGAAAGACGTTAGTTGGCACAAATGGATTGTGTGGTAGAGTGGAAAGACGATAGTATTTTAAGTCAGAGGACCTGGGTTCAAATCCTGGTTCCATTACTACTTACTACTAATTTTAAGCAAGTTATCTTTCTTCTGTGTCTTACCAGTAAAATGAAGGGGTTAGACTAGATGACCTGTAAAGTCACATCCAGCTCTAAATCAATCTGTGATTCTATAATTTAAAATTAAGGTGATACCCAACATTTAATCCTTCTACTCCTCAGGCACCAAATGTTCTGCAAACTCACCCTTCGGCATATCAACAAGCTTCCAGAGCATGTCCTACGTCACGTCCAGGGCCATCGCTACCAAAAGGCTCTACGCAAATGTAAGTACCTAGAGTTGGAGCAAGTGGGAGTTATAACACCCCAATTTTTGAACTCTGGATGGATTTTTCACTGTCTCGCTTCCAGAGCTGTTTACCTGGGGCAGGGACCCTCAGTCAGATGGGCAAGACCTTAGAACATTAAATGTTAATAGCTGAGAGAGTATGTTGTCAAATCCCTCATTTCCTCAAACAGACTCTGACAGACTGACTTGCCTGAAGTCTCTTGATTCTGTCTCCAGGGCTCATTTTTCTTCTATTACTATGTATTAGCCCCTTCTGACGTGGGCAGGTGTACTCGTTATTTATTATAATCCTTGGTGCTCTTCCTAGTAGGATATCATAGTCCAGATGCCTTGTGGCTCCTGCTTGTCACCTGTTAGTGTGTCTTTATCTGCTCTGGCTTTGATTTCAGAAGCCATTGGGCCAACTGGCACTCACCCTTGAAGCCCTGTCATAAGCCTGTACTCGATTTCTTTCTAGGCCAGGAGTGAAACACACTCAATCCTAGCTAATCTAAGAGCAAGACTGATTCCCTCCCCACCTCTGACATAAACAAGCCTTCCAAGTGCCATGTAGCTGAGATTTAAGGTGTTCTCAATTCCTTGTACGTAACAGGCACTTAACATTTGTGGAATAGAATTGAATTTTCCCAGTGTCAGTCCATGCACTTTCTCACATTGGCATGTCTCCACTCTTTGCTACGTCTCCACCTGCAGCTTCCACTTCTTGGCCATCACATGTGACCACACTTTCAGCAGTAGGAGAGGTGAGAGTCAAAAGTAGCAGCAAACTGTCCCTCCATAAGGGCTAGATTGGTTTTACTGATCCTGTTTCTGGTCCTAGTTTAGTTCAATGGGATAGAATTTTCTTCTCTAGGTAACCTAGGGGCCAGGGCAATGTTGAGAGATCTGTGGCATTCACCTGGCCTGTTTTCCTCAGATGAGGAGTGTCAGAAGCAGGGTGTGGAGTACGTTCCTGCCTGCTTGCTGCAAAAGAGGAGGAGATGGGAAGACTTGATTGATGGTGACCAGCAGCCCCAAAAAAAGGAGGATTTCTGGAAGCCTGAGTCCAGTGATGAAGAAGACCAGAGTGATGACAGCATGAGTGACTTATACCCATGTGAGCAGCACAAAGTCCCCTTTCACTTCTAACATTTAATATATCTAAACTAGGCCCATTATTCTTTTTCTGTCCGTTGTTCTGTGGGTTGGCTTTTTAATTTTGATGTTTTTCTGGTTATCCCAACTCTTCACTGCATCATAAGTCAGTTTGGAAGTAATTCAGTTCATCTTTTTTTTTTGCCAGTATCAAGGTAAAAAATCAATATTCCACCCCTGGATCCCAACAAAATCTTATATGCAGTACTTAATGTATACACCACAGTGTGTGGCTGATGCTGTCAATGACACTTGGGGCCAAAACCCTGCAGGTAGCACGTCAAGGAAGCTCTTAACACCACACTCCAAGGTGCACACAAATTTATTAACCAGGTATGTAACTGGAATCCTCTTGTTACAGCTGAGTTGTTCACTGAAAAGAACCCAGGTGAGAATGGAGATGTCACCAGGAACTACTTGACAGACACTGAAGACAACAATACACAGCTTTCAAGAGAGAATGGCATCATGAGTAGAGGAGAGAAGATGGACGTGGACAAGCCAACATGCACTAAAAGGACAAAGGTGAAAGTGCAGCAGTCACAGCAAGTAGCTCTCAGTACATTAGCAGTCTAAGTCCTAACGGAAGGCAGCATATAGACCACTGTACCTAGAATTGAGTGATTATTTACTGCTCTGCCTTTGCCACAGATGAGCTTGGTGATGTAGTGGAAATCTCTTAACTAGCCAGGACCATGCTTCACCAGAGTGGGGAAAATAAATCTTAGAATCACAGATTTAGAGGTAGAAACGACCTCAGGTCAGCTAGCCCAACCCCCATAATTTACATTTGTGGAAACTGAAATGTAGAGAGTCTCTTCAGTGACTTGCATAAGGTCACTCAGGCAGTCAGTAATTGGCAAAGTCAAGCATCAAACCACAGTTCTCAGACTCAAAATCCAATACTCTTTCCTCTGTACTACTTTTGTCAGTGAACATTTATTAAGCGCCTACTATGTGCTAAATACTGAGGATAAAAAGAAAGGCAAAAGATAGCCTCTCTCAAGTTTACAGTCTAGTAATGAGGGAGACAACAGGCAAGGAAACTATATACAGGATAAATAGGAAATAAGAGAGGGAAAGCATTAAGATCAAGAGGGTTTGGGAGAAACTTTCTGTAGAAGGTGGAATCTTCATTGAGACTTAAAGGAAGCCCAGAAGGGACAGTATTCCATGCACGGTGGACAAACCAGTGAAAATGTCTCCAGTCAGGAAATGAATGTCTTACTCAAAGAAGAGCAAGGAAACCAGTGTCACTAGATTGAAGTGTGTGGGAAGTGAGGGATAGCGTGTACAGAAGGTGTGTAAGAAGGACAGAGGTATAAGAAGACAGGAAAGGAATGGGGAAGGTTAGGTAGTGAAGGGCTTTAAAGGCTAAACAGGATTTTACATTTGATCCTGGAAATGACGGGGAGCCATTAGAGTTTATTGATTGTTGGGGAGAGGGGACATAGTCAGACCTACACTTTAGGAAAATCTCTTAGAGTAGAGGATCAACTGAAGTGGGGGAAACTTGTTGAAGGGAAACCAACCAAAAAGCAATTGCAGTGGTCAGAGATAGAGGAGAGAAGGGAATGTATGCTAGAGATGTGATGAAGATAGAATTGACAGGTTTTTGCAAGGACATGGAAAGATAGTGGTGCTATCTTGTAACTAATAGGTGAAAGTAATAGGGAATTTTGGAAGAGGGAAGAGTTTGGGAGGAAAGATAAGTTCAGTTTGGCGCATGTTGAGTTTAAGATGTCTAAGAGACATCCAGTTCAAGATGGCTAATAGGCATTGGAGATGTGTGACCAAAAGTCAGCAGAGAGTTAAGGCTGGATAAGGAGATTTGAGAATCATGGGTATAGAGATAATTGAATTCATGGGAGTTGAGATCACAGAGTGATAGAGTATAGAGAGAGAAGAGGACCAGGATGAAACTTTTGACAGCTGTGGTTAAGTAGCAGGCATAACCTTGTTGAAGAGGCAGCAAAGAAGACTGAGAAGGAACAGATCATATATTTAGGAGAACCAGGAGAGCAGTACCCTAAAAACCCAGAGGGAGAAAGAAAAATATTAAGAAGGTAATGGACAAGAGGCTGCAGAGAGGTCAAGGATGAGGACCGAGAAAAGAGCATTAGATTTGGCAATTCTAAGAGATACTTGCAAGCAGCTAGGTGGGGCAGTGGATAGAATGCCAGAAAGAATGCCAGTCAGAAAGACAAGCTAGCCTCAGTTTCCTTATCTGTAAAATGATCTGGAGAAGGAAATGGCAAACCACTACAATATCTTTGCCAAGAAAACTCCCAAACTCCAAAAACTCATGAAGAGTCAGATACAACTGAAATGACTGAACACCAAAGATATCCTTGGTAACTTTGGAGAGAACAGTTTCAGTGGAACGATGAGGCCATACTTTAGAGAATGAGAAAATAAAATCTATTGTAAATCACCTTGTCAGGGAGGTTAGCCATGAAAGGGAGGAAAGAGATGGGATAGATCAACGTGGGGGTTTGTGAGGATGGGGAGATGTGATGTGTTTGTAAGCAGGGGGGAAGCACCCCATAAATAGGGAGAGAGAGATTGAAGATAAAGTTAGTCAGGATGATAAAGAGGATAGTCTGCTGAAGAAGATAGGATGGAATAGGATCATATTTGCAGAAGCTATTTGTAACTAAAATGCTGCCTTTTACAACATTACAAGGATTAAAATCTAATCCAACAGCTAGAAGGGAATCACGAACAGGCATTGTTAACTAATAAGATTTGGAGTAAAAACCTGATTTTAAGTCCTAGCTCTGCTATTTTATCTACTTGCACGTCATGGAGCAACTAATCAACCAATGATCATTTATTTATCATTATATTAGGCCTCTGTGTCAGGCCTAATTGGGGCAGCTAGGTGGTGCAGTGGATGGAACACTGAACCTGGAGTCAGAAAGGTCTGAGTTTAAATTCAGCCTCAGACATTTGCTAGTTGTGTGACCTTGGGCAAATCACTTGACCCATATTTCTCTCAGTTCCTCATATGTAAAATAGAAATACAGTAGAGAAGGAAATGGCAAACCACTCTAGTATCCTTGCCAAGAAAACCCTATGGACTGCTCAGTGGGGTCACATGTAGTCAGACATAAGTGAACAACTGAACAATATCAACAAGTATCAGGCAGCCTACATCCTATCAGGGAAAATGTGCCTATATATATATTTTATATATCTGTATAATCAACTAAACATAAGGTAATTTGGGGGTAAGACACTAGCAACTAGCACAGGAATCAGGAAAGGCCGTATGGAGGGAGTAGCATTAATCTCTCTGGGCCTTCTTTGTTTTCTCATCTCTAGAATCACTCCATGGCCTTATTTTAAGTGAAAAGAAGGAACAAAGCTGTGTTTAGCCCCAAGATTCAAGTATCTTCCTTTTGTCACAAGAATAGAAAATCCAGTCTGATTTTCAGATGTGACACTGATTTTTGATTATTTGTGTTTCTATCATAGAAGTTGGCTTCGATGAAGAAGTTCAAGAACCACCACCGAAAACCCAAGCACTTCAAAAGAGGAACAGAAACAAAATAACTATTTGTGTAATTGAAATAATAAAGTTGATGAAGAAAGTAATAGCCTCTTTGAAGGCCAAGGGAAAAGGGAGGGATGCTTGCCCCGTTCTGAGCTACGTGTAGAGTGGTGGTTATGTAAACACCTGCTAGAGTTTTCCCATGGCTACTGATAATATTACACCTCTGTCTCCAAACAAGTGATAATGCCCTGTGGCCTTGTGGCTAAGGCTGAGATGCAGATACATGAGTCCACGTGAGGATTAACTATAACAGGATATGTCTTCGAGCAACCCATGTGGTAATCATCACAGCTTTTGCCTCTTTGGCCTCACATTTATTTCCTAATCTCATTTCATGACTATATGGTCACACTAGATACAACAAATGCCATTATTTTATTTTGATGTTTGTTTCCAAAAATCAAAACATTTTCAAATACAACTAAGATATAAAATACAGCATAAAATGAGATTTATATCTATTCTTTCCCACATGAAGCAAAAAAAAAAAAAACAACTTCAGAACACTTTTGCCAAAGCCAATTGTTGGTAAATACAAGTTTCTGTCCCTGCCCCAGACTCTGGACCACTAAAATCATGGGGTGGAAAAGAGAAGCAGCAGAGCCAAAGGGATGCTGTGATCATGGGGAAGGTTCACTGAAGGCAGCACTGTTTCAGGTGCTCAAGTCAGCCCCACTTCTCCACCAGTAAAAAGCCAGTCTGTGGAAGAGTAGGCCTAAAGGAAACAGGCTGCCTTGGTGAAGATGTTGCTTACAAAGAAAAATCTAACTTGTGAGTAGCAGTTGATGGGCTTGCTGTGCTAGATGGCATTAGTAAGAGGGGAATGAACAGGACCTAGAACCAAAACAACTGCCTTTCTTTGGCTAAAACACTGTTTACAAACCACCCTTTCTTAAATGAGTATCTCGATAATCAAGAGAATATTGAACTTATTAGTTTAATCTTACAAATACTTGAGGAAACAGGGAGGAGGTCACTGTTTTGCTAGCTGGCTTGGTAGGGACAAAATCCTCCCAACTACACCGTGGGTCTGGCGTGCAGTGAGAGACTAGAGAGGAAAACTGTCAGAGACTGACATAATACTTTGAGAAATAGCAAGCAGAAATTCTACCCCTTCTCCTTAGGTACAAGTAATTAGAAAAAAGTTTCCATTCTTCATCCTTTGCAATTTCCAATTGTCTAAAACAGTCCCATTAATAAGTAGAAGGGAGAGGCATAAATAAAGTGTAGACTTGGGAGTCTTGGACCAAAGATAGTTGACAGGCCCTGCCTTATACACCTGCATTACAGGGAAGGGCTTATAGTAGGAAAAGAACTACTATCTGAAAAAGTTCAGGATGCTATGATCCTGGAAGCTCCCAAGTGGAACTAAATTTCCAGTATTAAATATCCCCTCAAGATCAAAAAGGAGCCACTTAGCCCACTGTCACCAGAGTAACATCAATTTGGCTGCACAGAAAGGATCTAAGGAATGGGGGAGGCACTGCAAGAGAGGTTTTAACTATCCCTCTGTAGCTTTATACTACAATATAAAACAGGGATTTTAAATATAGGATTGCAACAACTAATATACTGCCCCCCCAAAAAGAGAAACACAGCATAAGGCAATGTTAGAAAACTTTAAATACAGGATCAAGATCAAATCAGTAAGGCATCACACTTTTTTAAAAATTCAATTTGGCTGTATACAGTGTAGCAAAAGGAAAAAAAATCAAAAATTGAACAACAAAGCAACAGCCTCCTGAAATGGTAGACCCTGGGATAAAACCCAGTTCCTGGCCATAGCCTGGGAAAAATCCCTTAACAAAAGGAAAAGTCTGGTGATGGGAGCTGCTTAAAACCCATTCAGAACCCCAAACAGGGCTTCACAGTATGCTAAGATCTTGTTCTGTGAGAAAAGAATGGGAGGCATTGGTTTGAAAGCCTAACTTTCCCCCACCTCCAAATGGTGCTAGGAGGAAAGCTTTTAGAAAAAGCCACTATCATCCTACCTGAGATGCTACATTCCAATAGCACCCTCAACCTACCACGTCAAATGTATCAATGAGGTCTGGTTCACTGCCCATGAACCCATTGGGGGCAACTGCCCTGCTCTTATATTCCAAAAGGCCATGGTGCCTTACTGCAGTCAATGCCTAAAACAAAGTCTTCAACAGGCTCTCTTTCACTATCTTAAGCCACCAAAGCTAAATCAGTGCAACTTTAGTGATGTGGGGGAAACACTGTCTGTACAAGACTTAGACCAGTCCAAAGAGCTGTGCTGATGTGTCTTTTTGCTACCCTTTACATGGCTGCCTAATGGGGGCCCCACTGTGTCAGTTCTAGTAGAGTGTTAATACTGTATTTCTTTGGGCTTCTGTTTGTCTTATTTTAAATCACTTTTCCTACAAAACGTGAAAAATAATATTAAAGCCACTATAGGAGAGAATTGTTTTTTATAAGGAAGTTTTAAAATAATGTAATGTTTGGCCAGGGCATCTCAAATCAGTTAGTACTAGCTAAAAATGTAAACAAAAAAACAGAGACCACCACATTGAATGATACAGTTGTGTATCTGCTCACAGTACAACTTGAAGGTTCATCTCTCCTCCCCCCCCCAAAAAAAAAAAAAAAACATAAACAAAGGCCAGGATCAGCCAAGCTGCCCATGCAGATGAATTTCAAGAGCCCTTGGCTAAAGGGTGATATATTAACTGTTCAGGCTGGTCAGCCTAAAAAAAAAACACTAAAATTTGGGACTGAGCATGCCTCCAAAGCAGATTTAACCATCAATTTCAGATTGTGTCACTGTAAATAAAGTTCTCAAAACATCTGTGCCTTTACCAGGGGAAGGGAGTCAGGTACGCAAATGCTGGCAGTTTTGTTGAATCCACACTGTCCTTGATAGCCACCGGTTTTTCACAGGGCAGGGACATAGGGGGCTGTTACCACTCCTTCTTCTTCTCATCCATGGAGACACCACCAGGGCCCAAGGCAACCACAAGAAGCAAGCCTCCAATCACTGACATGGTTTGGAAGAAGTCATACTTGAGGAAGTCATGCATGGGCTTATAGACTGGGACGGTCCAGAAAGCGTTGAAATAGACATTGATGCCAAACAACCAGATGACCAGAGTCAAGGCAGCTAGCTTGGTTTTGAAACCAATGGCCACTAAAATGATCAAAGCAGTGCCCACGATGTTCTGAAGAATCTGTATTGGTTCAAAATAAAGAAAATTTAAGATGAATGTAGGGGAGAGAGTCATGGAATCTTAAAGGCTACCTGCTCCAACTCACATCTCAGAAAGAATCGCCTCTATGATACACGTAGTTGGTCACCTAGCCCTTGCCTGATGGTTTGTGATGTTATGTTTAAAGTAGGTATTAAATACCCTGTCAAGGTGGAGGGGTCTGCTGCAGAAGCAATCAAACATAATATGGTTAATGCTTGTTATCTAGCAAGAGAACAAGGGTTTCTACCAAATACAATATACGATGAGAACTTTCAAGATGAAAGAATAAATGAACTAGACAGAAAAGACAAAAGCAGGACCTGAACACTTCTATGAATAAAGGGGAAAAAAGCCCCTAGAGGCAGTAAGAAATACCAGCTGGAAGACTTCATAAAGGCTAATTCTTCTACCTGTCCACTTAATCCCATTCTTTTTTGCCTCCTCCGAGATCTTACTTCAGCTATCACCTTGTTTCATGCATCTTCCATTCGTTGCTCTTCATGGGCTCTTCTCCATCTGCCTACAGACATGCTCAGGTCTCACTAATCCTAAAAGTCTTCCCTTATCCTAATAGTCTACCCAGTTACTCTTTTCCCCATATCTTCTTCCACTTTCCTGCTAGCTAAACTATACCAATGTCGGGATCTCCACCACTCTACCAAGACTGCTTTTTCACAAGGTGACTGGCCTACTTATCACCAAGCCTAGTGACCAAGGCTATTTTTGACCCATCTGGCTGACCATTTATGCCTACTAGATAACTCTCTCCTTTCTTGGATTCACTACACTACTTTGGCTCTCTTATTATCTCTCCATTCTTCTCTTTCCTTCATTCACTCCTTCTGACTTCTCTACTTGGCTATAATCCTAAGGATTTTCCCTTGACACTCTCCTCTCTCACCTGTGGCAATCTTAATCATCTCTCTCTCTCTTTTTTCGGTGAGGCAATAGGGGTGAAGAGGCTGAATTTGAACTCAGGTCCTCCTGACTCCAGGGCCGGTGCTCTATCCACTGCACCATCTAGCTGCTCCTTAATCATCTCTATTTGATAACTCCTCTGTATTTAGTTCTAACATCTCTAAGCCCCATACCTGCTCCTCTTGCTATTTTATGGGAGGGATATCTCTGTCTACAAGTCTACAGTTTGAAACCAAATGTCACTTTCCTCTAAGGTTCTTCTTCCTTCTAATGTCACTAGTCTTCCAAGTTTATAACCTCAGGTTGACCTCTGACTCCTCTTTCACTTCCCTGTCTAATCAGATACCAAGTTCTACAAATTCTATTTCTGTAATACTTTGCACCCTTCACTCTCAAGGACCTTCCTATACTCACTTGTTAGCATTTTAGCATGGGTCTTCATTACCAAGAGCAACAGTCTAACAGCTCTTCCTGCTACCACACTTTCCCTAGCCCGATCCATCCTTAACATCAAAATAATCATTCTAACACATTCTCATTGTAATTCTAATCATGTCACTCCTCTGCTCAAAATTTTAAGTCCCTGATACTGTCTGTCAAGTAAAATTCAAAGTCCTTAGTCCCACATTCAAGGCCCTCCACAATGTGATACCATTTTACTCTTCCAGCCTTACCCCGTATCATTAAATGCAGCCCATTCCACTGCTCCTAGCCAAACTGATCTACTCTGTTCCCCAAAATGTGCCCTATACCTCCAATGTCTTTGCTCACAATGATCCCCACAAACGGAATGCTCGCTCTCCTCTACTTTTTTTGCTCATCCTTTAAAGACAAATTCAAAATATCACTTCTTCCACAAAGCCTTCTTGGATTACCTTGGGCAGCAATAACTCTCAGGTGTCACTCAACACTGTATATTATACCCCTCTAATACACATTTGTGCTAGAACCCCCAAGCCAGTAAGCTCAGTATCTGATCTAAACCTTGTATTTATGCCAGCATCAACACAATGCCTCACCCAATATCATTACAAGTTGCCTTCACACCCATGCTTCAGACTATTTGAATGCCTATCAAAAATATGTGACACTGTCTTCCCTGTACCAATCTTCCCCATTAATTATCTGCAGGCTTCACAGAAATGAAAAGTAGTGCTTTATAAAAGAAAAATCAGAGTTATATGTCTCGGGTCTCATTCAACTAAAGATTCTGATATCTGCCTAAATTATGTGTATTCTTCCCTGCCTCATTAAAAAAAAAAAACCATACATACACACATTTACATTTTTAGTGAAGACTCCCTAGGAGCCAACTCCAAAGACAAGGCAAATGCTTAACTTTGCTCCTACAGGAAAGGCAGTCCACTATAGTAGCTGCACCAAGTGCTCAAACCAAGTGCAGGTATCAATTCTTTATGGGCTCAGAAGCTCTACTACCTTCTAGTAGTTGAGACAGACAATATATAGAAGGTAAACCCCCATCCCAATGCTTTGTACCCAGGAAAACAAGTCAGGACCAAGATACCAATGGAAACATCCTGTTTTGAAGAATATAGGCAGATTTTTTTGAGGAAATTAAGCGCACTTACAGAAAAGAAGCTGGCATCAAAGTGAAGAAGGGTCATGAACATCAGGACCAGCAACACCCTCCCACCAAGCTGCATGTACTGTTTGGGTGAGCTCTCTCGCATGGTTGGGACCCCTGCAAACATGCTTTTCCCTTCAGATCGGGACTCAGCCAAGAGCAGCAGCAATCCTCCTCCTAAGGCCAGGTTCCTGGAGAGCAAAGGAGTGGAAACAAAAATATCAAAAACTATTTGCCAAAGATCAAAACTCACTGGGCCTTGAAAAGGCCAACTAATCCTAAACCAGATGGGGAAATCTCTTCATCAGTTCAGGGGCTGTAACTCTTTTTCTTCTCTTTAGCTCTCTAAGTAGGCAGAGAGCACTGGGTCTGCTGTCAGGAAGACCTGAGCTCAAATCTGGCTTCAGATACTTACTAGCTATGTGACCTAGGCAAGTCACTTAACCTTTCTGTGCTTCAGTTTTCTCAACTATAAAATAAGGATAATAACCCTTACTTGAAGAGCTGTTGTGAGAATCAAATTAGATTATATTATTAAGTGCTCAGCACAGCGTCTGGAGCATAGTAGACGTTTAATAAATGTTTCCCTCTTCCCTACATGATCAAAGATGAGCAAACCATCAAAGTTGCTGCATAACCAAAAGTCCCTACAAGCTACACCATCCTAGATGAGGCATCACAGCCCTCTATTAACAAACAATGGTAGTTAGTCTGAGAGGTCTGCACAGTACAGTAGAAAGATCATGGAAATAAAACACCTGGGTTCTAAACTGAGTTCTGATACTAACTCACTGAGGGATCCAGAACACATTTCTTTGAAATCTTAGCTTCCACAGGTATTAAGTGAGAAAACTGAACCAAGCGATGCTTTAAGCCCCTTCCAGCTCTAACATTCTATGTGCTGGTACTGATATACCTTTGCCTGAGTCTGTCTAGAAGTCTTGTCTGTAAGTGGCACTGATGAGATTAGGCCATCTGTCCTGGGAAAGGGAGTCTATTTCTACCATTTCACTCTAAGCTCTTAGAGTACTTGACTGTAGGGACACCAAAAAAGCAACCAACCTTTGTCCATCTTAACAATCACAATGAACATACCTCATCAAAAATTTGAGGTCCCATAAAATGCTGTACGCAATCGTCTGTTGAAGAAAACCAAGAATGAGTAGTATTAGTCTTGGGATTCTCAAACTCTTGTTTGTCTATCACCCCAGAAGAACTATTCAAATTACTTTTACAAGACACCAGAATTTGTTTAATGGAATACAGAGGATGTCTGTAATTACCATGCTTTGGCTTAAAGACATAACTGCATATTGGCTCTGGTGATTTATAGTGTCATTACATAAGACAGTTAAAGAAACAAGTATTCTCGATGCAGTTAAATGTCAAGAAAATTTGGCCTATAAATTCACCTCAATGTTACCCATGTGGCAACTGAAATTTAGCAAAATGGAAAAAGAGAAAAAGTGCATAAGCGAGTACCCAGGCATTTGAGAAGTATTTTAAGAGAAAGAATTCAAAGGCCCTTTTCAGCTAACTGGGCTATTTTAATGCTGTTTCTAGAAAAATCTTATGCATCTTCAGAGGGGGAGGGGTGACTAGCAGTCAAATAGCAAATTTGTGGGTGACAGCCAGACATCAAAAATAGTTTTTCAAAAAGCCTTACTGCACTAGACCACAAAAGGCAAGATGAAGATTCCAACTTACCTGTAATGCTATAATTCCAAAGAGTCCAAAGCAGGCATACTGTACAAAGTTTCTGCTCAATACCAAGATACAGCCAGCTGAGAAGTGAGATGGGAGGGTAAGAATTAATGACTACTAAGAAAATAAGTAACTAACATTTTCAAGAGGTTCTGCAATTTTTCCTTATAATTATGGCAGAAAAACACCTCCCCGCAAGTAAAAACAACCACTAGGAGCTTTTAGTATTGTAAAAATAAGATAGCACCAAGGATGAGTTCATGGGATCTTAGTTATTAAGCATGCTGGTCCAAATAGGGGACCACACGCAGGCTTACAGAACGAATAATTTCAAAAGGCCAATTATCTAGTAATAAACATTGCCAACTACTTCACTATGTAGAACTTTAACTTCCTCCATGATAAATTTCTTTATTTCTTTGCCTGATAAACTTAATCTATATTTGTATCCCTATAGCACAATATATTCCTCATCTTTTGACAATTAAATTATATATATATGGCTAGCTATTTCACCTGGTCTATCCAATCCTTAAAGCTAAGCTCTCCCTAGAGCTGGGCCAGGGCCTAATTCTTCTTTTGTATTTTCTACAGTGCCAACACAGACTTATGTGTTTGCTAATAATGAAGAAATTTTATAGAGAACAGAAGCCTTTAAAGCCCCAGGAACTCAATATGATCTCTACTTTCTGACTGTGATGGAGTTCCAATACAATATAAATGAAAGGACAAAAACACCCACTTTTCCCTACTAACTTCATTAGCCCAACAACCAAGTGTGAAACCTAAGCAGATCTTTCTATCCACTTACTCAATTGCCCAAGCAAGTTTAGGAACACAAAGATGGAGGCGAGGATATAGCCACAGTTCCAGGTTGCATCAATATAGTCTCTCTGTTCACTCCACTGGAACCACATTCGGATGCCATCTTCCAGGAAGGTGCTAATAAGACACAGGCGTGCCACATGCGGGAGGTACTGCTTCGTGACTCGAAGAAACTATTGAGACAACAAAAACCAAGACAGTGAAAGACTAGTAACGGAGAAGCTGGGAACCCCAAACTGCCAGCCAAAGACATGCATGTCCTCCAGCTAAGGATAAGCGAGCATTCATCTGTTATATTCTTTATTAGTTTCTTAACAGTAGTCATTTTACAAGCACTTCAACTGTTAGTTCTTATTTCAGTGAGCAATTCTGTAAGAGTCGATCTACCTATATACGGAAATGAATGACTGTACTACAAACACAGAGCAGGGGCAAGCTCTGCTGAAAGCCTTTCCCATCTGCCTTTGAGAATGACCCACTCCCTCAGTTCTAGCAACTCAATCTAGGCGGTGATTAAAGAACTTCAACTGCATGGCCATAAGACAGTAAGTACAGCTTTGGTTGTACAAAGAAACAATCTAATTACATCCAATGTAATTGTTAATATGCTGAGATCTTCACAATATCGACTTCTGAGGGAGGCTACATGAATTCCTAACTCTGGGGAAACTGAATTAGAGGAACCCAGGCCACTGGCTGAGTCCACCAGAAATTCTGATGGAATGATTTGCTCTCTTACTCCATTCCAAATCTCAGGTGCAACAATAACAAAACCCTGATACCAAAGAGAACTACTCGGTAGTCTACTAATCAAGACAGATATTCCTAAAGGATCTAAAGTTAAAAGGGTCTGTGTAGGTTATCTTGTGTCATCTGCTATATACTTGAGTGAAAATGTGAACATGAGATTTTTTAAGGACTATAAACATGATGTTTAATACTTGGAAATGTTATAATAAAAACAAAACCACTATGACACTCTACTGATGACCTCCTACATCAGAGAAAGTTTTGTTGCTGCTGTTTTGTGTTTTTTAATAAGATAGGAGGGTGAATTAGTAAAATAACTGGCAGGTGCCACAAAGGAAAAAGATGATTATGATTGCCTTTGGTGCCATGCTCATATGAGCATTTGCGCTGTGAGACACGTGTACACTGTAAAATAGCATGCAAAGCTGACATTACATACACAACAACACACACACTTCTCTTACTATCATGTTTAAGATCCAAATCAAAGAGAGGATAGGAGGTGTAGACGGGGATACCCAACATAATAGAGGTCAAAAAGAGACAGTGGGATAACTACCCATATAAGTGATTTGGCAGAAAGCAACACAAGGGATATGCCAAGTAGTTTGAGTCTAAAGGGTGGGTACCTGCAAACAAACTCAAGTATTCTCTTCCAGGACTAATACCACTGTTGGAATAGTGGGGAACGTGGAAAGAGGAACTTCTTTTATGTGACTTCCTAGACACCAAGGTGTATGAAGTCCTAGAAGTGTCAAACCAAAACAGCTGAACAGGAGCCTCTGGTAATGTGTCTAGCTAACAACAAATTAAGTGAAGACTTCTTTCCTAACCAATACTAAAGATAAGCCTCGCCCTTCTACCACAAAAGGTATCATGGGAGATTTTCTCATTCTTGTGGAAGGAAAATGGATAAAAGAGATGAAAAAGAAGAATCCATAGGGAATAGACGTGCTGCCAGTCAACTTCCCTCAAAACTACTGACGTATCCCACAACTAAAAGTTTGAAGCACTAACTTAAGATCTTACAGGAGTTTTTGCAAAATCTGTTCCATTATTTAGATTCCAAGTTATGCTATTTTTTAAAAAATAGGAGAAAAGGGAGGAAAAAGACATCATAAAATATGACAAGAGGCTGACAGCCTATGACTCTAAATTGACTCTGTAATATAGTCATCATATAAATACACTCACAAAATCTAGTAGCAGACTGAACAGGAGGTATGATAACATTTGAAATTATATACACTTTTTAGTTTCCATCTAATGCCCCAAACACTCAACAAATGCTCAGCAACAGCCTGATCAGCTTCAATCAAGGGAGAACATAAAAGGCGTAACAGGTTGGAGATGTGGGTACGGAGGGGGTTACAAGTTCCCATTTTAGTATTAATGACCTTTTCACTGAGTTAAGAAGCACCAAGCATATGGTACATGGAGATAGCTTACTGTCTGAAAGTTGTAAAACAAAACAAAACTTTCTCTCTCTTAAAAAGATGTTCAGGGAAGACCTTAACAGGAGGGCCCCACAAATCATTCAGAAATAACTATAAAGACCTGACATTTCCACAGAGCAAAGACAGCAAATATAGGCAAGACATATAAGTTAAGAGGCTTTAATATAACCCTAGAAAGCATAATTATAAAAAAAGTTTTGGCTTGATTATATACTAGACATGTCTACTACTGACATGTTTACACATCCACCAGGTTAAGAGTTGTTTGCCTACTCAGTAAACAAGCAATACAGCAAGGATTTATAATCCAGGCTGCCCTTAGCTAAAGGGAATCTATTCTAATACAGCAAACAACAAAATTCTCAACACTCACAGAGGGCAGGCAGGCTGCCTTCCTTGACTTCTCTGCTTTGTCTCAATATAAGCGTCTAACAACGTTAGCAATAAAAAATTCCAAACAAAAGGCAATGTCATTCAGATTAATTGCAGTGACCAATTTTAGTCCTGGAGAACAGATGATTAAAGGCGTTTCTTGGTAGAAGTCTGAGGGACTACAGATACAAACTGCTGAATACATTGTCAGGTATGACTGCTTTTGTCAGTTTTGCTGAATTGTTTTGCTTTGCTACAAAGAGAGACATTAGGAAATTACTAATACAAAAAAAATCAATAAAACAAAAAAATCCTCATTCAAAATAATAACTTGGGTGTTTAGGTCAAGGACATTAAGATAGAAATTGGACATTGTTCCTTCCCTCATGTAAAGTTATATACTATACCCCCCTAAAAAAAAATCTCACTGACCCTGCCTGTCTTAGAAAAATTTTTTTTGAAATTTTAAATCCTACAAGCCCAAATTAAAAAAGTCAAAAGATTATCTTAGAAGGAAGCACTGATAAAGTCTACTAGGTTGCTATAAGTCCCCAGTGTAAACAAGCTGAGTCAGGGTACTGTAGTAAAAAGAATACTGGCCAAGGAGGTAAGTTCTAAATCCAACTCTGATGCTAACTGGCTGTGAAATTTTGAGCAAGTCACCTCTCTGAGTCATTTTCCTTACCTGTATATAAAAGAGCTGAGCTATATATTCTCTAAGTACCCCTTCAATTCTAACATTCTGATAGACATCTACATTTAGGGACAATTTAAGTTAGGCTACAGATGAATTCAGACACATAGTTCTTTTTCTGTTCTGAGCAGAAGGTTGAAATTTTATTCAATAAAAGATAGAAGCATCTTTTCTGGTCCTACACCTTACCTTTGTTTTACAGGCTGCTGGGGCCAAAGAACTCATCACCTCATGGAAAACCTGATGATGATGCTACTATTTGACTACAAATCCCACAACCCTTCAGTCTCCAAAGAACCAAAACCCCAGGCGACCCAAAGAGCAATGGTAGGCCCAAGTTAAGTTGCAGAATATCACCAGTGATGAACTGCATGCAAGAAACAGAAAAAAGATATCACCCAGGAAACTGGACAGTCATGTATCAAAAGACAGACAGCCCAAGTATCCACAGAATATTAAATGGCTATAAGGATTTAAAGGTCCTCCAGTTCACTTGTTAGATACTTACGTCAGCTAGTCAGTCAATAAACATTTATTAAGCATCTGCCATGCACTGTACTTAAGGGAGGATATGAACAAGAACACAAGATGAAAAGGTGTAGATGATTTGCAGAATGCACCCTTAAATGAAATATCCTCATTGTGAAGATTACCAATTCACTAAGTATTACGTTACTCTTTGCTTTAGGAACAACTTCTTAACTAAGTCTTAGGATATCTTGAACTAGAGTCACTTCCTTTGCTAAGGGGAGTCCCAGATCCAGTCATCAAATCAGTCACTGATGACAGCATGAGCTGATAAGTAAAAAAAAGTTGAACAAGGCTACATTACTGTCACTCAAACCTACCATGAGCATACAGCACAAGATGTATCAAGCACGTTACAACACCCAACCCACCAAATGCTAACATGCAGCACAAACACCGTAAGCACAAGGCTACAAAATCAGGCTGACGCTCAACAGAAAAATGTGAAGGGAAAACGAGGTCTGAAACTAACCGAAGAGATCTTGAAAGGAAGGAAGAGAGATAACACAATTAGTTAACCATCACAGGGCAAGACTTTCATTAAAAGTTTCCAAGAACCTTACAACCAAGTAACCTATACACGCAGAAAAGACAGTATTCTTAAAAATTAGGAAAACGAGATTTGTTTAAATAAGGCACATTGGTGTACGTTTGTTTGTTTGTGGGGGAGGGTAGGTATGACAAGTTGCAGGGAAATACATCAAAAGGGATTGTAAAGAGAGTCATGTTTCTATCCAACATACTGAAGATAAGGTAAATGTTTATAGCAAAAGGAAAAGATGAAATTGAAGGAAGCCTCAAATTCTAGTATTAATCACATCTTCATCCAAAATGTGACAAGTTAGTTACCTTTTAGTCATTAAAGTCTGGGAATCTCCCTGCAAAGGGGGTATATACACACAAACAAAAATCCACAAAGCCTAGAAAATTAAAGCCTATGGCAAAAAAAAAAAAATGTTGAGTCAGGATTGGCCCAGGCAGGTGACTCATACAAATCTTGCCAACACAACTCCAGGGTTTCCCTGGGAAGTCTCCCAGCTGAACACCACTCAGCAGGTTTGTGCTAGACCAGAATGCAATTAGAGGTGATCTAGTAGCAATAGTTGGAGGCAATAGTTTAGTTTTTTTTCTTTAGTAAATGAACCATGACTATTTGTGAAATAGCCTAACAGTGGAAAACTAACTACAGAAAGAACATAGAAGAGAGCATTATTGTAACTATTTCATTTTCTACAGAAGCCAAACTATTTGGAAGGTCATAACGGCTCAAGCAAAACAAACAAACTAAAAACTAAAAATAAAAATTCTACTATCTCCAGATCAACAGACAAATAAATCAATGTTATTCACAATCTAATTAGGTTACAAAAGTAGTAAATACAAGTCCCAGGGAAGTTTCTTACAAAGAACTTGGGGGAAAGGGAAAGAAATAAAGAAAAGCAGGTACATACCCCTATAATCAAAAACCTATCAACACAAAATAGAAAATATGGACATTAACACACAACCTAAACTTGCTACTTATACGGATGCATATGCATTACTCACTATGTGAACAGTACCATGCTACTGCCAAGGTTATCCAAGACATCTAATACTTGTCTTAAATACATATAATCAAAATTTGCGCTACTAAGGACATGCTCTTCCTAGCCTAGCTTTCTCAAGGCAAACAGAAAGTTTGATTGAGAAAGGATCATAGAAGCTAATTCTTTACCTCAATAAAACTAATCAGAAGTCATTCATTTATTCATTCATTCCAAAAACACTTAGAAAACATTCTTGTTTATAAGCATCTAAGTGTTTAAAAGGCACATTTCTTTTAAGCCACCCGATAGGTTTTTAATAAGTAGTCACATTTTGAATTATTCTATCAATCACAAAGATGTGTTATGGGCCTCCTGTGTACCAGGTCCTTGGAGTTCTACATTAAAGCCTGTAGCCCCTCAATCCATTCTCTAATGGCTTCTTCCTAAAAGAGCAAAGCTCAAGAACTTTACTACACATTGTAGGAGTAAAAGAATGCTGATGCTGAATTACTGGGTCAATGAGCTCAGCACCAGACACACAAAATTTACCAAGCTGTCTCCTTGGTAATCCACACATTCTGCACAACCATCAAGGGCTAGGTTAATTCAATTATCCCTCTTTTGACTGAATGTACATACTATTTACCAAGGGAAGACAGCACAGCCTAGAGCTAAAACTCTCAGGTAGGACTCCCAGTTGCATCAGACTTAAGAGGTCAAACAAACCTGTTCACTTTCAGGTGCTTCTGTTTCCTTAAGGCAAGGTAAGATAAAATGGATTTGTCCTTATATCATCTATAATGTTAATTCAGCTTTATTTCTCTGCTCACCTCAAATCAGATTAGGGATTTTTTGGCAGTCATTTACACAATCCATCTTAAAAGTCACATTTAGTTTAGCATTCTCTGCTATGTAAGATAAGAAATCTGGGGGGTTGGGGAGGGACAGCAGTCAGTAGGAAACTGTCAGCTGTGCTATAAGTGCTAGAGATGGAAGGTTCTAAGAAAACTAAAGCCACCCACAAAGAAATGTCATTTTGGCATCATTTACATATCTAATGCTTTCCATCTTACCAGAAGCAATAAAAAGCTCCTTCCCTTTATTCTTTAAAAGAGGCACAAACTTGACTCTACTCAACTTATATAAGGTGTTAAAGGACAGTTATAAGGACTCACCTTAAACTAGTGAAGTGACATCAGTTCTCTGTGGACTGAAGATGCTCAAGCACTACTCAGTAATAAACCTATAACACATATTCTAGCCCTGTCCAATATACAATCTACAACAGCCAATATACACTTGGCTACTGTCTTAATCTAATTTACTGCTGACAATTTTTTCTTAATTTCTGCCTCTGAAGGAAAAGGAAGAAAAAGGAAATAAAAAAAGGAATCACATGAGGACCTACTATATTCCCAATGGCTTACTTCATTAAAAGTTTCTTTAAAAAACAGAAAATAAAACAAAAAATATTACATAAAGCAGTAAATTAAATAAAATTTCCTTTTTTTGAGCAGCAGAATGAAAGAGTTTCATCTAGGCAATAGCTAGAAAAGAGACTTTGTTATGAAATGAAATTTCATTTGCAAAACAGTTATTGTACAGGCTGAAAGTTGATGGTACATGGGTCCCATAGCTCTAAAAGGAGCAATTGATACTTGGGAAACAAAATGGTGCCACTAAAAAAGGTATTTTTTCTAACAGATTTGGGGCAAAAATACATGCAATTTAGGCAGAGACCAATTCTTTATGTTAGCATGCATACTTTTCTCCCCCAAAATGATAGTACATAATGAAGGCGAATTATACAAACCTAATAATGAGGATACAAACCCAGGGATGAAGAATGACTGGAAGGTTTCCCCAATTATAAAATTCATACTCCATAACTAATTTGGAAAGCAGAGATACTAATATTAACCCCACAATTAAAATTCCTCCAAGAAAAACTAGCACTTATAGTCTAACCTTGGCTGAATATGCCTAAGGAGAAAAAACTTTAATTAACCCACCTATTTACTACTTTTTACTTTGACAAAACTCAACGCGTTCAGAGGATTTGGGAAAGTTCAAGTAATGAGAATAGGGTTGGGCCAATATCTGCTTACACAGATATTAAACTACTTTTCAATTTGTAAATATATCAGACTACTACTGAATTCAAGTCATTACTGTGCTAATTTTGCCAAATGGGTGATCCTGGCAGCTTTGGCAGCCCTCCCCTTCAGCATCTGATCTTGCTGATCTTGTTTTAAGGACTTTTAACAATTGCTCAATTATCTATTTGTTTCAAGGTTTTCCCAGGAGTGCCACCTGTACACTTCTTGAAAAGGAAGGGAAAAAGGAAGACTGGCCTAGCACACTCTTCAGCAGATACATACAGCAACTGCTTGTTTAAATGGATGAAGTTCAGAGTCCACCCAACACATACAATTAGAGAGACCCTTTCATTCAGAACTCATCTAGCAGAGAGTGGATACTTGTTAGATACTTCAAAAGAGGTGCAAGGCAGGGTTGAGGCCTGGTTTCCCTTTGACTTTGGTTTAAGAGTACAAATCTGATCCCCTATGACCTACAATCCGACTGAACATGTTCTAGATCAAACCTCCTGGGCCTTCCAGAGACATAACCTAAATTCAAAGGAAATGATAAAGGGACAGAACATCTTGCTTACTCTGGAGTCAGATTGCCCCCGACCTTTTAGCCCTTTCCCTAACAGTATCACCTCTAGTCCAGTGGATTTTTTCCCTTCTTGGAAGGCAATGAGATGGGGGAGGACAAAGTACCCAGACAGGCAGTAAGGAGCAGGTAGAAAAGGAGTAGAAGAAGCCATATCCTTAATCCTGAAATGACCAAACCCCAAAGAATCTCAAAGATTTGACTAACCTGCTTAGGAGAGTAGAGTCCGAAGTTGAGCCACCTTATGTACTATCCCATCCCCCAAACCTAAGCCTTTCAGCCTACCTGCTCTGAAGCTGCAGTCCCGTTTCACCAGAGCCCTTTTGCTCAAATAATAGTAGGTTGGAGTACAAGAGTAAAAACCCAGAGAAACTTGGGGAAATGTGGAGGCCTAGCTCCAGTTGCAATTTACTGAGGAAGTGTAAGTTGTTAGGGGAGTACTAAGAAGAGAAAAAAGGCCTTAGAGGCAAAGAACATTACAGTAAGGGACAGGGAGAACTTTATATAAGGGGTTTGAGGCAGAGGCACTATAAACAAGAGATCATTATCCAAAGGGATTAGAGAGACCTTAGGGAAATATTACAGAACAAAAATGTTAGAGACCCTGAGGGAAGGTGGGGGACAGGTGGGGGGGCAACAGAAGGGGTTAGGAAAAAGAACTGGGAGTAAGGGACACATATTAAGGCCTGGGGAAATGAAATAGAAACGAAAGGCTTAGAGACCTGGAGTAAGAATAATATAGAAAAGCTGAGGTCAGGGGGGCATTCTAGAAATGGTTCACAGCTCTGGAGATAATACATAAAGTACAGAAAACACTGGGAACTGAATAGCATTATATAAAGAGGGGGAGGAGAAGGGCAAGACCCAGAATATAAAGGCCTGGGGGGCATGATAAGCATTATTCGAAACCGAGTTGGATCACAGAGAGGGGAGAAATCTCTAGGGAGTAAGGGGGGGGTGCCTCCCAAGAGAGCAGAACTGGTGGTAGAGGCACTGGGGGGCACAATGTAAACCAGGAGGGCTCATAAGTTGGAGAGCAATAGATAGCTGTGAGATGAGGGAGCTCTGTGGACAGGGCAGTGGTACAGTTCTGGGGGCTGGAGGATCAAGGCAGCAGTAGAGAGCCCTGGGGAGGGGCAGCAGTACAGAAGAAGGAGCTCTCTCAGTACAGCATAAAGGGAGTTAGATATTAAAGAAAGCTAACAGGGAGGGGGCAGGAGGGTTTTGGAGGTGGGGGACAAAGCATTAATGGAGGGCAAAACGGTCTGGGGTGAAAGCAGAGATCAGGAAGAGTACAGGAACAAAGTCTGGGGGCACCGCAGAGTTCTGGGGGTGAGGCACACAATATTAAGGGAAGCACAATAGGGAGCTCTGGGGGTGGGGGCAGAGTAGAGAGATCTGGAAGTGGGGGCACAGTAGGCAGCTCTGGGGATAGGGGGAGTACAGTGGGGAGTTCTGGGGTGGAGGCGGAGCAGGGACCTCTGGGGATGGGGGAGTGGTTGGGAGCTCTGGAGTGGGGGCGCAGTACAGAGAAATGGGGGTACAGAAAGAAGTTCTGAGGGTGGGGGGGCAGTGTGTGAGAACACTAAAGAGTTCGGGGGAGAGCAGTGGGAGTTAGGTGGGGGCCCCGGATCGGGGGCCTAGTGAGGAGGGGTCGCGACCTCGGGGGCCCGGATTGGGGCGGGGCCCCGCGGGTTGGGGGAGGCGCGGCCCGGGCCCCCCGACCCCGGACCCCCGGCCCGGGCCCCGCCATCCCTCCCGCCCGGCCCCGCACCTGGTCCGCGAAGTCCTCGGCGGTGCCCATCAGGTCGTTCTGGCCCATGGCGGCGGCGGCGGCGGGAGGGCTCGGCTCCGGCTCGGCTCCGGCTCCCTCCCGTGTGGCGCTGGCGGCGGCTCCTCCCCCTCCCGCTCCCGCTGCGGCCTCCACAGGAAGTGGCCTCGGCCTCCTCGGCGGCGGCGGCGGCGGCGGCTCCTGCTGCTGCCACGTAGGCCAAGCCTTAAAGGGGCCGCAGCTCAGCCCGGCGCCTGGCCTGGGGGAGGGGGCGGCCCTTAAAGGGCCCGCGGCGGACTCGGGCTTCCGCACTAGGCCTGGGCTAGGCCGGAGCGGGTGAGTTGGCGGGGGAGGGTTCTTCCCCCTACTCTTCCAAATATTTAGGCCAAGGAGGGCAGCCCCTTCCTTTCACAGAAACCTCAGCCTAGAGAGGGGAAGTCATTTCCCCAAGGTCACACAACTAGTAAACGGCCAGACGGGAATTCGAAACCAGGTCTTCTGACTCCGTCCGAGTCCAGTACTCTTTCCAGTCTCATCATTCTAGGCCACTCCTCTCTCTTTACAGATGGGGAAACTGAGGCCCCAAAAGAAATTTGCACAAATGGGTGGCGGAGCTGGGATGAGGACTTTGGCCCTTGACTCCAAATCCTGGGCAGTTTACACTCTACCGCTATGGGGAAGGAATAGTAATATGAAGTGTTTAATCTTTATGGAATGAATGAATGAATGAATGAATGAATGAATGAATGAATGAATGAGTGAATGAATGAGTGAATGAATGAATGTAGCAAGTTATAAAGCGAGGCTCACAGGGAGAAAACATTGAGCCGGCACAGATATTAAAGGGAGCTAAAAGGGACGAGATAGTAGTGTTTGAGGGTGAGAGGCACAGTATTAATGGGAAATAGAACGCTATACTGATGGGAAACTGAGGCCCCAAGAGAAATGTATCCAAATTTACACCAGTGACCGAGTTGAGATTCGTACCCTCTCCCTTGATTCCTGGGCAGTTTGCACTCTACCAGACTGGGAAAGGAATAGTAATATTAAGTATTAAGTCCTTATGAAATGATTGAATGAACGAACGAATGAATGAAAAACATTTCTTCAGCTCTTGCTATGTGCAAAGCATTGTGCTAAGTGCTGGGGATGCAAATAGAAAAGCAATCCCTGCTTTCAAGAAACTCACTTTCTCATGAGGAGGGACTGCCTGGGGATGGACAAATAAATGGTCCTGGGGCAGCAAAGATGCCACGCCCCTCACGCGTACCTGAGACAGGACTCAGATTAACAGACAGCTTCCCTTTGCCCATCTCTCTCCACGTGTCAGACCCAAGGATTCCTGAGCGGAGACGTGGTGCCCCAGGGGAAGTCTGACTCAGGCTTGAGAGTAGAATGACCCGGAGAAGGTCAGAGACAGCTAGGACAGGCTGACAAATCCAGCCTGATTGTCTCAGAAAAGGCCAGAGGGCTTAGAACTGCCTGCGTGTAGACGAGGTTTGGGTCCGGCCATAGCTGAGCTATGTGTGTGTGATGCGCCTCTAAGTAGTCACGGCTGCTCTCTTCCCCAGCTCCGAACTGGGCGGACAGAAGGACTCAGGCTAGAGCTGAGTGCCTGGGGCAAGAGAAGCTAGAGGACTGGGAACTGGGAAAGGAGCCAGCAGCCGACAGACAGACCTGGCTTGAGTGTCTGTGAGTGTGGATGGAGAGTCAGACAGACAAGTTCAGGTAGACGTGGGGTGGGAAACACGGAGGAGCCGGGGAGGGGGTGCCCCTGGGCTTGCTCCTCGCGGGGAGAGCCTCAGGCAGAAGAGAATAGAACCCTCCTCGCCGCCTCCTCCCCCTCTCCAGCAGCCCGCTGCCGACCCCAAGTGAAGAGGGAAAGTCGAATCTTACACTAGAAATTATAATGGAAAAGTATAAGGTGAGGAATTTAGTCCGCCAACCCCTTCCTCTCTGGAGTAGAGTATGGAGGTAGGAAGAAGGGGAAGACAGTTTGACAAGGGAGTAGCGCTCCCAGAAACTTCTGATGGCCCCCAGCTTTAACTGCCATAACGCCATGTAGCCCCCCAGGACGCCCGCCTTCCCAAGCCCCTTCCCAGCACTCGAGGTCATTTTTAACACTTGTACTGAAGGAAGCATTTTGCAACATTTAAAGTGCTACAGAAATATAATGAACTCTGGAGCTTGTCTCTTGAACAAATAAATATATAGCTGAGAAATTGTACATAGTATCCACAGGAGAGAAAAGGAAAGACAGTTGAGGCAGGCTGAAAAAAAAATCTCAGTGTTGTATCTGGAATGACACTTTTCATCACCATCTTTACCACAACAATGTCTAGATAACCATCCACCTAATCCTCTCTCTCAGTTTACCCACCACACTACCAAAAAGACCCTTCTATTCTCCAATCTCTCAGGATGCCCTGAAAACATGTTCCTCATCTGTTCCTCCTGTTATGTTCCTCCTTCTCTGGGGCCTGGGCTTACCTCCCCGTTTCAGGTTTTAAGGTGCGGAAAATGGAGAACTATACGCTTACAATCAGTTTCTGTATTTTTCTTATTTTTCCCCCTTTAGTTTCAAGAAACCAGATTGGTTGTCCACCCTCAGCTACTGTTTGAATGAAAGGAAATGGACCACCAGGATTTAGAATCACACAGCTAGGTTTCAGATTCTGACTCTGCTACTTAATACCTGTGTGATCTTAGCAGAGTTAACTTCTTCCTAACCAAAGTTTCTTCTCTGTGAAATAAGCGGATTGAACTATTTAATATCTAAGGTTCTTTCCAGCTCTAAATCTCATGATTTAGACAGATAACTAGGGGACAGTATTGTTATTGTTCAGTCGTGTCCAACTCTACGTGACATGTGGACCATACCACTCCAGGTCCTTCTGTCCTCCACTATCTCCAGAAGTCTGTCCAAGCTATATTGGACACTATCCAAACCTGACGGGTTCATCTTCCAATGCCATGTCTTTTAGCATTTTAATACTAACTGTGGGGTTTTCTTGGCAAAGATACTGGAGTGGTTTGTTTTCCATTTCGTTCTCCAGTGGATCACCTTTTCTCAGAGCTCTCCATTATGACCTGTCTTGGGTAGTGCTGCATGGCACAGCTGGTAGTTTCATTGAGCTACTCAAGCTCCTCCAGCTCTACAAGGTAGTGATCTAGGAGGAGAGGAGATAGTACACCGAAGTTCTCCAAGCTGTGCTGCTGACTAACTCTTTGACTTGGAATCCTTCACCTACCGGGTCACAGTTTCTTCTGAGAAAGTTTCCTCCATTCGTAAAATGAAAGGATAATATATTTCTTGCCTACACTCCACAGGACTGTTATGAGGGAAGGTATAGTCAAGGGAGGTGGGGAACCTGTGGCCTTTAAGGCCACATGTGGACCTCTAGGTCCTCAAGTTTGGCCCTTAGACTGAATCCAAGCTTCACAGAACAAATCCACTTAATGAAAAGATTTGTTCTGTGAAGTTTGGATTCAATCAAGGGGCCGGTTTTGAGGCCACAGGTTCCCCACCCTGGTCTAGTACATGGAATCAAGAGACCTGGGTGCCAATTACTCTGACACTTATTAGTTGTGTGACCTTGGGCAAATTTCTTCACTTCTGTAACCTTTAGTTTCTCCAATTTAAACTAGAGATAATAATACTTGCCCTACCTACTTCACAGGGTTGTTGTGAACTTTAAAACATATGAAAATGGGAGCTATCACCTCCCTCCTGCCCTACATTGCATAGGTTGACACCTGGGAATGTAATATTGCCATGCTATCAGATCAAGTAAATGTGAGTTGGTTTTGTGGAACTGTTTTCTTTCTCTTTTATCATTGGTTACAAGGGATAACTGGTTAGGGAGGTGAGGGAAGAAGGGATGTATTTGGAAATAAAGAGCGTGCAAAAACAAAAGATTTCAAAAAAAATTAAGGTAAGAAAACAAAAAAAGGGCAGCAATAAAAAACAAAGAAGTCTAACTTATTAGTAAATAAGATTATGGATGGGAAAACAAATTTTTATCCCCTCCCAAAGTGACAGGGGTATTGATCATGTCACCCCTTTGGCTAACAGGTTATACAAACATTGAAGCATGGTGCCTTGGGAGTGAATGTAGTGGTGGTAGAAAGACACAAACTGAAATCTACTAAGCCTGTAAGACTCCTGATAAAGAAGGTAAGTGGAAGTTTCTGTAGCCACAGATGCAAAAGATGCATGTGTAGTTATGATTTTCCAAGTTAGGTACTCCTTCAGTATGGGGAAAGCACAGACAAAAGGAAGGATAAAGGCTACACTTTTGTTTATACCTCCCTCACCCACATTTACAGATCTATAAAATGGAGAAAATAACACTCATATTTCCTACCTGCCTTCTCTTGTGAAGAAAGTGCTTTGTAACCCTTAAAGCACTGTAGAAATGTCGGAGAGAAATATGGGCATCTAAGCCTTTCCTTTCTTCTATCCTACATAATTCATAATGACACCAGCATTATAGCACAGCAGATAGAAAACTGACTTTGGAGCCATCAAAAACTGAGTTCACCTCTCACCTGTGACACATACTGGTTGTGTAACCTTGGACATATCCCATCACCTCTCAGTGCTCTAAGTCAAACTCAAATAGAAGTGAAGTCATTAAACCTTACGTAAGGATCCCTGCCAGCACATATTGACTTTTCTCTCTTGCATTCCACAGCTCTTCAAACCCTTGAAGATAGTTACTATATCCCCCTTCTACAGGTTAAACCACCCCAGTTCCTTCAACAGATCCCCACATATCAATCAATAGTCAACAAGTATTTATGTGCCAGGCACAATGGCACATGGCATGTATTTGAGGCCCTGGAGCTTCCTGGTTACCCTCTTACTAATGGTCTTCAACTTAGTATTGTCTTCCCTAAAACATGGCACTTCAGAACTGAATACATAATTCCTAACAGAGATTGAACAAGGCCGAATGCTACAGTGCTACTATCACAAGCCTTAGTCCTGGACATACTCTGTGCCTTTCTGAATGTAACCAAGAGCTGAAGTAGCTTTCTTGGATGCCTTATTATACAATCAGTTCATATTAAGCTTGAAGTCCACCAAAACCTCCAGGTAGATTTCAGAAAAATTGCCACCTAGACATATCTCCCCTATCTTCTGCCTGTAGCTTTTTTAACCCAAGCATGAGATTTTACATTTATCACAATTAAATGCCATCTTGCTAGATTTGGCCCAATGTTCTATCCTGTCTGTATCTTTTAGGATCCTGACTTTTCTATCCAGTGTGTCAGCTCTCCCTCCAAACTTTACATTTGATAAGCATTCCATCTATGCCTTTATGCAAGTCACTGGAAAAAATGTTGGGCAAGGCAAGGTCAAGCAGAGATCCATAGGAAAGTACTCAGGAGACTTCCAGATTGCCTCCAAACCATTATTAATGACTCTTCCTTCTTTGGGTCCAGCCATTCAACCTGTTCCAAACTCCCCTAACTGTATTCATGTCTGGTCCGATCTGTATTTTTTTCCACAAGAGTACCAGGGGATACTTTGCCAAATGTTTTATGGAAATGGAGGTAAACTTTATTGGCAATAGTCCCCTGATATACTTTAGTACTCAACTAGATCTGCAGCTTCATGAATTCAGATGTTCCTGTCTATGGCACAGATCGAAATCAATCCATGCTTGCTTATCTTGTGCAAATCTTGTCCATATCTTCCAATATGTTTGTCACAGCAAGGTCCACTTAACATGCTGGGGGACTTTCAAAATTTCTTCTGCTGTCAGGAGGCTCCTGGGGAGCACTTGGGTGGTCCACCTGCCATCATCCCTCACCCTTGACCCATCCCATCTTCTTTTTCTATTGTACATTTCCCTGATGACATCTTTTACTACTGTTCTTCAAAGTTCATAATTTTTGATATGTTGAAACCAGATCACACCCATCATGTGATTCTCCATTGCCTTCTATGTGATACTTATTTCAAATTCTTGGGAATTTTTTGTGTTCCATATCCAGTACTCTTGCTTAGTAAACTCCAGTGGCATTTAAAACCTTTCATAATCTGTCTCCAATCTACCCATACTAGTCTACCAGTAGAATACTGGTATTAAAAAGATAGACTTTTTTGTTTTCTGGGAAAAGTTTGGACAACTAGGTGGTATGGTGGATATAGCACTGGTCCTGGAGTCAGGAAGATCTGAGTTCCAATCTGGCTTCAGGTACTTACTAGCTGTGTGATCTTGGACAATCACTTAACCTTGGTTTCTTCAACTGTAAAATGGGGATAATGATAGCACCTACCTCACAGGGTTGCTGTGAGAAATAAATGAAAATATATTTGTAAAGTGTTTTGCATGGTGCCTAGTACATAGTAAGTGCTACAGAAGTGCCAGCTATTATCATCATCATTATTATTATTAATTTACTTAAGGCAATCCAGGCTGCTGATCTCCTCTTATCCATTTGTACTGTCTGTCCAGTTTACATATATTGATAGACTAGTTCCATCCAAATAGATAGCCTTCATCCACTTCGACCCACCTGTGTGGATGGTTAGCCCAAACTCTTTTGAGTGGTTTTGTATGTCTTCTAGTTGGATTTGCAATATTTTGGCTTTTTTTGTTGTCAACGTAATGTCATTCACCAAGGGGAGTACCAGGAGGATCTCACCACCCATCAGAAATCCCTCTTCAACTGGGTTTCTTTGATGAATGTCCTCCATCCCAAATGGTGCCAAACATTTAGGGGAACCTGCATCTCCTTGTTCTATCCCTAACCTGATGTTTATGATCAGAAAGTGATTGAACAAAGTTACCTCTGTTATTATATCTTTCAAGGAGTCTTGAATGATTTGATGTATGGATGGGAAACAACTTGTTGCCCTTAAAGTGGCTTTTTGCTCCTTCATTCCAGAAGCCTTTTTGTTATAAATTAACAAAAAGCATAGCAAAATCTTATATTCTCCACACCTTTTAGTCAGTAGGGTCAGAAAAGGCCTTGTATAGGAGGTGCGTCTGAGCTGAGATTTGAAGGTAACTGGGGATTCTAAGATGTGGAGGTGAGGAGAAGTGCATTCCAGAAACAGAGTGTAGCCTGTGCAAGACCACAGAAGCAAGACTGAATGTTGCTTGTGAGAGATCACAAGGAGTCTAATTCAGCTGGATTGTAGGGGAGTAAGGCTGGAGAGGTAGATTGGAGACAGATTATGAAAGGTTTTAAATACCACTGGAGTTTACTAAGCAAGAGAATGATATGGTCAGGCCTATACTAGAGGAATATGATTTTTGGTTACTGTATAGAATGGTTTGGAAAGGGAGACTTGAGTCAAGGAGACTAATTAGGAGGCTACTGCAATAGTCCAGGCAGAAGTAGTGAAAGCCTGAACTCAGCTGGTGACTGTTCAAGTGGAGAGAAGGGATGGATGTGAGATGTTGTGCAAGTAAAATCAAAAAGACCTGGCAAGTGATGGTATATGTAGGGTGAGGGAGAGTGAAGAGGCAAGGAAAACATCAAGGTTGAGAACATGGGTGACTAGAAGGATGCTAGTGCCCTGGACAGAAATAGGAAAGGTTAGAAGAAGGGTGAGTTTCAGGAGAAAGTTAATGAATTCTGTTTTGGACTTCTTGAGTTAGATATGTATGTATTACATCCATTTGGCTATGATCCATTTGGCTGTAGTTCAATGGAGGGGACAAGACAGTAGAAAGATAGAAAGGTCAATAGATAGGAAGGAAGGAAGGAAGGAAGGAAGGAAGAGAGAGAGAGAGAGAGAGAGAAGAGAGAGAGAGAGAGAGAGAGAGAGAGAGAGAGAAAGAAAGAAGGAAGAAAGGAAAGAAGGAAGGAAGGAAAGATGGAGGGAGGGAGGGAGGGGGAAGGGGAGAGAGAGAGTGAGAGAGAGAGAGAGAGAGAGAAACTCAGAGGTTCAGTGATTTACCCAAGATCATATAGGCAATGTGTGTCAGAGAAAGGATTTGAATCTAAATCTTCCTGGCTTTAAGGTTAGCTCTCTATCCACTGCACTTCAGCTGTTTCCTTTAAGGGCTATACCATATATTTTTCCACATTAGTCTTCTTTCTTCCAGCTTTATAGAAATTCTTATTTTTGCTCAAAAGTTGGTGATCAAGACAATTACACATTGTAAATAAGGTTAATTTGGCTTGGCCTATTCTCAGTAAAGGGTAATATGTCTTTGGGATTACTACTTCCTTTTTTACATATTTACTAACCATCTGTCTTAAGCCTTACTCACTTTGCCCAGTCCTTGGGCCCAAAGGGCTAATTAGGCCATAGGACATCAGTGATTTAAAGGGGGGATGGGGAGAATATCCTTAGTCTACATATCTTGATTAGTATTAGCACTAAAAGCACTAAGACCCACTTTTTGGCTTTTTCTGATTAAATCGGTATTGAAGAGGTTTACTATTTCCAACCTGATATATATCTTATTCCCCTATCCGATGTTGTGATCAGCCTGTATGGGTCAACCATGGGCAGGGACCTGGAGAGCTGCACTTGTTAATGCATAACTTTGCTCAATGTTTGTATTTAGTAAAAGAGGATTCAGTGTTTTATTTATTATTATTATTATTATTATTTGCCTCATTGATTAAGTCTCTTCAGATTTTGACCCTGCACCTGTCCTGAAACACCATCCTTTTAATAGTTCTGTTATAGAGGAATTATGTTCCTCTATAAAATCGATCAACAGTATTTACATATTAAGCACTTATCATCTGCAAAAGCCCTGTACTAGATCATTTTATAGTGGAAAGAACCTCGACTTGGAGTCAGAAGATCTAGATCTAAGTTCAGTTTCACTTATCTTAACCTCAGTTTCCTTATCTGTACAATGATGGGATTGGACCTGATGATCCCTAGTGCCCCTGTGGCAATTCAAATTGTTTAACCTACAGTAAAAGAGACTAAGGCAGAGCCCTGAGTCAATGGCATTTTATTAAAGGTTCCATGATCCCCTTTAATGAAGTGGACCTCAGATCTTCCTCATCATCTGAGATGTCCCCTTCTTCTATGGCCTTATTTTATGTATATATATATATATATTTGATAAATACCAGATTTGATGCCTGAACATTCTAAAGAGGCTATATACAAAGTACAGAAATCTATTGGTTGATAGATATTGTTTCGAAGGCCAAAAAATGATGCATCAG